TGTCATTAAAGATCTAAAATTAATGCGTGAAAATGCCACTGAAACATTCTCTGAAATATTCAGCTCTTCTTCTCTTATGCTAACAAGCATTGGATCTTCCACTTCCATGCAAATCCCTAGAATAACAGGAAGACAGAAAAATCGCGATAATTTTCCCTCATCGACGCCGGAAACATATTTCAGAGTTAGTGTTTTTATTCTATTTATAGAAAATTTTACAACACAATTAAACTTAAGATTTGTATCGCATCGTGATATTTTGAAAGGATTTCAGTGTCTTCTACCTGCCGATCCTTTCATTTGCCAACCTTCAAACATAAAGGCATTTGAAGCATTAGTGGAATTTTACGCTGGAGAATTGGATACCTGTAAAGAAAGCCTTAAGTCTGAACTAAAACTCTGGTATAAAAGATTAAAAAGGATTAGTGAAGACGGAGGTAGTGTTCAAAAAACTGCGGCGGATGCTCTTGGAATGTGCAATAAAGATATAACACAAAACATTTTCAAACTCCTAAAAATATTGGTCGTTCTACCTGTTTCAACGAGTGCAAACGAAAGATCCCTTTCGACTTTGCGCCGTTTGAAGGATATAATGAAATACACAAAAAAATCAATTAACATTAAGGAACCATAATTCCAAGAGTGCGGCAACTCTATATGTTGGGAGTCAGAAATCCAAAAAAAAAAGTATGTTTATTCAGAGAAAGTAAGTTTTTGAGTATGATTTCCTAACTCAAAATATCGTCTGCATTTATTAATTAGCATATTTGAGGTCACCCTCTTGAGTCTCAGAGCGTGAAGATCCGATCATTAGATCAAAACTTATTCAGGGTGGTCCGGTTATTCTTATGCTCACTGCACTACGTGTAAACCTGTGTGTCAAACACACACAAATTAAAAAACACAAATCAGTCAAAAAACACAAATTAAATTTTTCATCCAAATCACGGCAAATTGGGGTTCATCGAAAACAAGATTGGAAGCTTAATTTCCAAAATAATTAGTTAAGATTAGATCCTACTTAAATTTATGTTAACAAGAAACATGCATTCATTTTTCAATATACAGTCAAACCCCGCTATAGTGAACGAAATGTTCGGTCCCGTGCCTTGCTATATACGAATGTTAATTTTTGTGGATATAGTGAAACAAAAAAGTGAATAAGTTGGATATAATGAACTTTTTTCTGTCCTCAACTGATTTTTTTGTAATAATTTTGAAATTTCTTCTTCAAAATAAATACATATACCGATTTTCAAAACCATCTTAGAGGGGAATGTAGCTATAAGCATTTTTTCTTGATTGCTTCTTTTATCTAACTTTCCCGTCCCTTAACAAACCAAGCATATGTTTCCAACCCAGGCAAACGATGCACCTGTACGGTGTCAGCGGGATAAATATGCATTTCCTGTCAGTTGCTGTTAATTTACGTCGCACTAGAGCTGCACAATGGGCTATTGGCGACGGTCTGGGAAACATCCCGGAGGATGATTCGAAGACATGCCATCACAATTTTGATCATCTGCGGAGGGGATGGCACCCTCGGTCCCTGCGCAGACTGATCCAAGTGGTCACCCACCCGCACACTGACCGTAGCCAGTGATGCCTGACTTCGGTGATCTGCTGGGAACCGTGTCTTAACGATCAGGCCACTGCGGGACGCATTTTCTGTCAGAGAGAATGAGTAATTATTGGTCAAAGGGTTGGACGCTAATATGTGTGGAAAAATAGGCAATTAATAATTTCTGCTAATGAAAAAAATTTAGATGGCAGAAAAAAGCAGATCTCAAGGATGTTGAAGCATTACCGAGGTGGTTCACCAATCGAAGAAGCCGCAATCTTCCAGTATCTGGTCAAATGTCAATGAATTTGCTAAGCGATTTTATACTACTTTTATGTAAACTAAGGTGAACAACGTTTAAGAGCACTGCAGACTACTGTTTCGGATGCTCAAAAGGCAACCTTCATCAGTGCAACAGAAAGAAATGAGAGAAAACAGACATTTATAGAAATGTGGCGTCACAAGGGTGGGGGGTTAGAGCAAAGACCAATAGGGGGTTAGTTAGGTTTGATCATAGATTTCCAAGCAGGAGAAAGATAAGGAACGCTGGATAAGTCATTGACCAACAGTTTGGAATTTTTGAAATTATTATAGGACTCATAAAAATCTAAATCAAAAATTGAAGAACAATTTTGATTTTATATATTTTTTGTGCTCTTAAACGTTGTTCACCTTAGTTTGTATTTACTACTTTTATGTGCTCGAATGGCAGGTTAAAAAAGCGGAATAACTAATTCAGGAAAAATAATCTGAGAGTCGGTTTCCATATCTGATGTTGAGGATTGACAAAGAGTAATGAAAAACAACACATCTTTTGCTACAACATAATATTTTTCAGTCATTTATTTGAATAACGTAATAAAATGGAGGAGTCTGGGAACCATTAGTTAAATTGCCTGAGGGTCCTCACTGCCCGAGCGGTATCGCCGGTCCAAACGCTCTGTTAAGCGAGTTCGAATCCCGCCTTAACCCTGGATGTATTCTTTGTGATGTCTTTATCTGTATTTTCTACTTGACAATGACTTCTAAGCCTATATTGAGCACACAAGTCAGCAAATGTATGCAATATCAATAAAATTAAATTGCCCGCGAAACGGATATAGTGAACTGAAATTTTGGTACCTGTAGGGTTCACTATAGCGGGAATTGACTGCCCGCGAGCTCTGAGTCGCGAAATTAATTCCATGGAAATTTATCTTAATGTTTAAATGGATTTTTGTATCATGACAGGACGTTATTTCTTTCTTATCAAAAACATTTTAACAATTCTGAATTTTTGCAATCAATATTGATTTCAAATTCCGTCTTTCAGAATCAACGACAGATCTTTATAGACAGTCATCAAAGTTCCATGGTATCCTATTGGATTGAACGGAAAACCAATCTTTCAATAATACACTAAACTCAGTTATTTAAGCTACTTTCGGTTGAAAATATGTTTACTCTTGTATTTTATCAAAAATGGCCCATATCGTCAATACTGCATGCTTATAAAATTATAGGAATACGGGCCAGATTGAAATTTTTATATCAAATGAAAATATCTTCTCTGATAAAAGATTTTTTTTGGTCCCCCAAGCCCAGACTAACACTTATGAAAAGTGTTTGTCAAATCATACCAGAGCTTTCGCAAATGGAATAACATAATGCTACAAAAAAAAAACCCAGCTTCAATGACAATATCATATTCGAATGTCCCCCCCCCTTATTATACCCATCCAAATTTCTACTCATTTGAGTTACTAGAATGAGAAATCTGTCAAAACAGCTTCCCTGACAAAAAAGATGAAAACTTTCCAGAAAAGTGGCTTTTAAATTAAAATTGCCAAGCTATAATGACAGGGAAGAGTAGAAAAAACTGGGCTCTGTTTCAGTACCAAACACTAAAGTGGAGACCACAGCTTACACGGATAACACAAGTTTTTCTTTAGTAAATTCAACTTAAAATAATGGACTAAATACAAAGAACACTTTTGGTGAGAGGTGCATTGAAAGAAAATGTAATACATATAAGAATGCTAATAAATTTTTTTTTTTTTTAAATAACTTTATTTTCTACAGTTTCACTATTTAACTTTCTTAGGACCAGCATCAAGACTCTCTGCTGCTTCCTTAGCCTTCTTCTGACGTTTTCCAAACATTCTAGCATCAGCTCGGGCAACACGCAATGTAACAAAGGCATTAAACTTGCGTTCTTCTTCAGTGGGGACACGTGCCTTCTCTCTCTGGTATCGCTTCCTGATTGGCATGACAACGTGCTTCAATTGAGTGGCCATCTTAATCTCTTCAGCCTGTATAACAAATTGAAGAAAATTAGCAGTGGGATTAAAAGAAACAAGCTTAAAGATCTTAGTACAAGACTCAAAATATCAGAAAAAAATTAGAGTGCCTAAGAATCAATCATGGCAATTCAGTCAGTTTTTTTCATCATCAGTAAGAACTTTCATATAAAATAACAATTTAATAAATTATTTGAAATACCGTACTTTTGAGTATTGCCCTTTTACGTTTATAATACACTCCATGAATAAAAATGATGAGACATCAATGGAAAGCAAACTGATAATCTAGGATATGGCTGATTTGCCTGAACTTAACAGAAAATACATTGTTGGAAACTTAAAACCTTATTATACCTTTACATCCAGCTTATAATAATAACATTAAAAAAAAAAAANAAAAAAAAAAAAAAAAAAAAAAAAACGTAAGAGAAAATTAATTGGCATTACTAGAAGAGAAAAGCTTTTCAATCGCTCACCTCACCGAAAACAAGCAAAAAAAAAAAAGACAAATGAATTGAAAATGCACGAAGATCAGTCCACACGAAGATCAGTCAACTGCTAAAAACTAATTTTAAGATATTTTTCCTTTGCTTGATCAAAAATTTAATGAATTCTAATCAAGATCTTAAGCATCTACTTAATCGTCACAATAATTTATATATAAGTCAGTTGAACAGCACCAGACCTCAATCAGCAAGGTGTTCATCGTGGGATATTTCTTTATATACACTACCAGGGGCCTGTCATGGGCAAATTTACAACTGTTCAGCGGTACCTACACAAAATACTTTAAAAAAGCAAGTTTAAAGATTCTTCCCCACCGACTTCTTAAAATTTTGTTGCTGCATCCCTGTAAAAACTACAAACCCTGGGTTAATTACTCATTTAGAATTGCAATGGAACCTTTCCAGTGTATTGTTATTACGACATAGAAGAATTCGCTTCCCACCCGGTCAGTAAGAAAAGTGCTTTCTATACCAATGCCTGGCTGAAAGTATGCCTTCATCCCGAAACGTCATGCGAGAAAAAGTACCAAAATCTCAAATTGAAGTAGACAAAAAAAAAAAAAAAAAACACTGATACCATGCAAACCTCGTTCGCATTGCAATCTATGGAGTGTAAAAAAAATCTTCTACAAATATATAACCCGTCGCTTATGTCGTAATTTTTTTTTTAATATAAAAAACGAAATGACAAGGATTTTGTTAAGTTTACAGGAAGTCAAAATTCAAACTATTATTTTAATAGACCTTAATTTTATTTTTCTGAATTTTTTTCTCTCTCTGAGAAACTTTTTTCTATATGACCCAGTCGAAAATATTCACATAATGAAGATAACTCTTAGTGCTAGTACTGTTAAAGGCATGTTTGTATTCATGTCGAAATTTAACTATGGACAATGATCTTTAAATTTGGATAAATTTTTTTTGAATGCATGGAAAAAATATAAATAGAAATGTACCAGTCATAAATGATTTTTATTTGCAGTGACAATTTCGGATTTTTTTTGTTGGAACTTTTAAGCCTAAATTTTCACTAAATAGGTACCCAGACAGATCTCTGACTACAGAGATAAAAACTTTGTCCAGATTCTAACCCATAGTAAAAAAAAAAAAAAAGAGATTTTCTTTTGATAAACATAACCAAAATCTGCCCTTACATTTATTACTATTTGACTTATAAATATCAATACATAAAATTTACTACCTTTAGCGGTACCTTCACAAATTCAACTTTAGGAACTTTGAGCTATCTTAATGTCATTTGCCTTGAACTGAAAAGGTGCAGAGTACAGTGCTGGAATAACTTTTTTCCGTCTCTTTAATAAATAGAATTTCTTTTAAATTTAATTTCTTATCAAAATAATATTCTTCTTTTTATAAAATTGGTGGATTGAAATGTAATCGCGAAAAGATGGTATTACATTAAAATTAAAGCCATTTTTTTTAAAAATTTATATCCTATATAAGATTTTCTACAAAAAAGTATAGTGGTTTTAACTGATTTCTTTTCAATACACTTAATAAAAATTTTATTTCAATATAATTCTGTCCTGACAGTTGCACAAATAAAAGCCTTTCTTTTGAACTAAAAATTAAACATAAAAAGTGTTGAGCTAGGTAATATCTTAAAAAATTCAATTCAAACCCACCCGGGTTGGGCTTTTAAAACCCTGGTTGTACATGCATAACATTCAGATACTAATTTATTCTTAGTTCCTTAGATAGAATTTTTCAAAATTAAGAATTTCAAAGCAAGGGAAGATCTAGATTTGAAATCAAGATATTTGTTTAGATTTAAAACACTTAAAATAAAGTTTGGCAATGACTAATCAACAAGAGGAATAGCTTAGAGAGAAATACTAAAATAATGAATATAAAAACCACACTAAGAAAATACAGAATTCCATCAGAAAAAAATTAGAGTATACCATACAACATGATAAATTCAGTAATAATCTTTCATCACAAGGATAATATTAAAATTAACAAGATGAAATACATTGGAAACATAACATACACTGGAAAATACACTCCAAGACAAAAAATAAGCAAACTAAGATCCCAAAATATAATCCCCTTAAAAATTATTATTTTTTTCCTTCAAAAAGTTTCTTTCTTTTTTTTTTTTTGATTGACATGTAAATTTTGGCAAAGAGCAATGGAAACTACTACTTTACTGTAGGCCACTAAATATATCTTCATAAACTAGCCTAGGTACACTACTATCTACTAGTCTACACTATGATGCAACATCGGTTACTTTATCATTCAATAGCTCTTAAATTACAAAATTGGAATTAATTTTTTTCTTTTGTTTTACTACAATGTGGCCACAAATAATACTCAGAAGAATAATTCCCTGATTTTTCTAGATCTTTCATCGAATTACCAGTGGTATTACTCCTTTTAGACATGCCCCAGAAAGTGTCAGCCATTAAGAGTCAAAGTAATTAAAACAGAAATTATGACATCTTTTGAAATAATACTCAAATTAATTTCTCTCCACTTTCTGGTTATTTTAATTAAACACTTGAGGCTCTCATCAAGAACAAAAGGGGGAAAAATAACTTTATATATAGCATTTTCTTTAAATAAAAAGTATTATCTGTATTACTAACTTAAAAACATTTTAAAAGCTATTAAGCATTTTATAAAAATAGTTAACTTAAATCTTTCATCTTTATGAAGATTAAAATCTAAGCATAATTTATAAGCCCAGTTGTAAATCTTTTAAAAATCTGAAATATAGCATTGGAGTAGTTTTTTAAATATTAAAAATTAAGTGGCGTTGATCAATATTTTTATATCCAGAACATTTTGACAGAACTAACAGAGATGCCATCTCCTAAAGATAAAGAATATAACTTGCAAAAAAGCATTATTTCAAGAGATAAGCAGGTTTTTGTGAAACAGCCCTAAATTCCTGGATATCTCAGATTGAAGAAAGTTCTTGTTCTGCTGCCACCCTATCTTTAATTCAGGCTTTGTATAAAATAATCCATTTGCTATCTTAAGTTAAAAAATTGACACAGTGGTTCGGAACAAAAACAATCTTCAGAAAAAAATTAGAGTGACATTAAACATCATAAGTCAGTAAATCTTTTTCATCATTAGATATTATGGAGTTCCTAAAAATTTTGGAACATGAAAGATATTAAACTAATTTCATAAAATATTAAAAGCTTTCACATTAGTTAACTGTACTTAGTAAAAGGTACAATAATTAAGAACACAATACATGCATGAATAAAGTATGTCACAATTTTAAAAGTAATAAATTATTTAATTTGAAGCAATTCATCAGTCCAGATTTTAGAACTAAGATTTATAATGAAATCACCTACCAAAGAATGCATTGTTATAATAACTAAATTAAGAACTTCCAAGAATCGCAACACCAAATTTTAAAACAATGTGAATATGAATCACAATGAGCAGGGGTTAAACTGTATAAATATGAAATTTGATGCAAACACGTGAATACGAATTACGTAAACGAAACTAAAATTGCAACATCGGCGAATCCTGCTGCAGTCATAAATATTAAAAAAGGCGGAAATCCAGTAACCCAAAAGAAGCAAACGAGCAGAAACTTTGCCAAATTCAATTCACGAATCAATGATCTTGAGGAACGTGGAAAAACAACAGGTGAAAATATTGGAGTACATCCGGAATGCAATCACCGTTAATAAAAGCAAAATTATAAACCCTTAGATTCTTTTTTAGAAAATTATATGGCAACTGAAAATATCGTTTTACACTTTTTTTAAAGTTAATTCATGATATTTATGCATAATGTACTAAATATTTTGCACGTAGTGAATATTAGGGATCTTTATAGTTATCAAAGTAAAGTAACTACAGTTAAACGATGTTTTTTCTGGTATAAAGCAAAAAGACCAGGACTCTCTTTATCTCTCCCTGGTGACAGGCGAACCAACACCTGCTTATCCCGACTGGCCAGTGGACACCTGAAATGTCTCACATTTTCTGCAAATCAAAAAGTCTTTCCTCTTTGCCCTAAATGCCAACAAAACCAGGCATCACCTGAGCACATCTTGAACTGTTTAGGGCTGGACTGGAATGACATTCATTCCTCTCCCATTCTGGTTTCGGATTTTCTGAATATCAACGGATTCATTGATCTGGTCTGACCCCGTCAGACCAGATGGGAATTAGCAACAACAACAACAAACGATGTTTTTAATTTAAAAAGAGATCTCTGAATAAAAATAAAATAAATGTTTAAAAACAAAAGTTTTGAACTGATTTCTATAAATGAGATTTGCTTCATTATGTATGAGTAATACATTTAAATATTCAATCAAGCAAAAAATAATTTGTACAAAAATTCTAATTCAATCGGGATTTTTACTAAGAAACTTACTCAATTTCAGGGAAGTACAAAACCAAGAGAAATTTGTACAAAAACCAAGAGAATTTTAATAAATCCAGTATTCTACTGGAAAATCCATTAGAGCTGGCAGCTTCGCTAAGGGAACTTTGCATCGATGTTTTTATACCACTCTTTACAAAAATTTATATTCGATTCAACAAATGGATTTGTCGGTCCCAATCCATTCGTCAAATCAAGGCCCAGCTGTATTTTTTACTTTTAAATATCTTGAAGAAAGATATTAGTATTAGAGAGGCATGTTGCAGAAAAAATTCTGCCACAGAGCATGCAGGAAAATCCCTCTTGAAGCAGCATTCAAATCCCATTGAAACTTAACAAAAACATTGAAACATTTAAGACTAAAAAAGAAAGTAAAAAGTACTCAATAAATATTTTGCTATAATAAAATAAATCCTATACATCTCTGGGCAAAACTTTCTTAGTTCAGTAGTTAAAAACCTATGATTTGAAAACTTTACGCATTCAATTTAATAAATTTTTGTTTCCGCTAAATAACGCATTCACTTGATAATAATGAATAACGTAAGTAAAACTTAACATCTTAGGACAATATAGAAAGACAAAACATTCATTTGATAAAAGGGAAGAAATAAATTCAGCCATTTTATAGATTCTTAAACTAAGATTTCTAGAAAAAAAGTTTAAAAATTCACAAAATAAAGCACCAAAAAGAAATGATCCATTTAAGTATTCAACTGTAACAACTAAATAAAAGACCAATCAAAACTATAAATCTTCTTAACAACAGATAAATTATCTTTTCACCTTAACTTTTAATAAATAAACATAAGACTATACTTACTGTTGCATCACCCTTCTTGGGTTTTGATAATTTTTTCGGGAACAAAATCAATTTAGATTTGTAAACTTTTAAACGTTGCACATTTTGTTGCAAACTTTCAACACCTCTATTCCTTCGCCTGTAGTCGACAGAAATTCCAATAGTCCTAGCTTCCCGTTTATGAATACCAGCAGCCTGCAAAATTACACACTATTATACACATACTGTAAATAAATGGCTGTAATGATGAATAGATATAAACTAATAAGCTGCGATCTACACAAAAATATCACTGAATTTTCATGCTCATTATCAGTGATATTGGCTAGAGCGACGTGTTTCACATTTCCTTAGCAAGTGAATATCTTACTCCTTTAAAAATACTGCCTACACTTCCGGGTTACTGTTTCCCATGTATTTATAAGCTATTTGGCTAACCACGTGATCACAGTGTTTTGAGATTCGTGTTAAAGGTACTAACACTAACATAAGATGGTGCACAGCTTCCAACAAGAACAAACAGTAATAAACAAATAAAAAGAAGCCAAATCAGGACTGCCAAAAAAGCGAGTTATTCAAAATCCAGGGTTGCCACAGTAAAAAATTTATCAAAAATAGCTGCTGTTAGTAGCCACAAGCATGAAAATAGTTGCCTGAACAAGAACAAAAATTTATCAAAAATAGTAGCCACACAACTAAAATTATAGCTTAATTGTCAAATACTATGATCAGGATGATGTCAGAAATTTCGATTGTCGCAATTTAGTATAGTTCAAAAATTGCCTATGGGAAACTTTAAATCATTCAATAATAAATAAAAAGGAATGAAACTATTACATAAGAAAATCTTAATTCTAACATTCTACTATGACATCAATATCATTGCTTAATTTTTTCAATTAAAATAATAAAAAAGACAAATTAAAAGCAAACTCAAGCTTTATTTCACTCTTCTTAAATTAAAAATGATTTAAGATTTATTGGTTTAAAAATAATAATACCGTAACAAAATATTTTACATACATGCATTTAAAAAAAAAGTCGAAAACAAACCAAACAAGTGTTTTAGAAAAAAACAACAACATGCTTTTGAAACATCATTAGACCCCTATTTAATTATTTAAATTAATAAAAAGTAGTATGAACTAATGGTCAAATTCTGTACTTAATAAACGTAAAAATATATCATTTTCTTTTTTGAAAATAAAATCGACTGAAGATTTATTTGTTTAAAAATGATACTGACTATTTAACAAATTATAAAAAAAAAGTATTGAAAGAAATTTAATAAAAATTAAAAAAAAAACAACAACTAAGTATTAATGCTAAATTATTAAAAAGCGTCAAAACATTACTATGATCTCAATGTAATTTAAAAAAATTATTTGTTTTGACTAATATCTAATTTATTTTTAAATTTTTGTTTCCAGTATCTCAAAAATAAAAGGAAATTAAATAAAGCTTTGTTTTAATTTTTTTATAATTACAAATGACTGAATACTTATTGGTTTATAACAAAAATACCCCTATTAAATTGAATAGCTTAAAATGAAAAACAATTGAAGAAAATCAATGAAGAATCTTTTTTTAAATTATATTTTCTTTTTATGAATCAATTGAGTTCAGAACGAAAATTTAAGATATCAGCGATTGTGCAGCAATCGCAAAGTAACAGTAGGCCCACTAAAAACAATCGACCAGAATCGTTAAATCCAGACAGAAAAAAAAAATGGTATGAAAATAATTTACAAGAAACCTGACAATTATTACAGACGAAATAAAATGCACAATGATCGCAAAATGACTTAAGTCCCACTGAAAATAATCTTCAAAAACTCAAAATCCCAAAGACAAAAAAATGGGCATAAAGAAACTATGCATTGCTTTCAACATTACAATGTTGATCTTCGCACAAAACTGGGAGTTTTGATTCAATTCGCTCTTCGGCATTCTACATCACGAAATTAACATCGTCTTTACAACAAACACCATTCACATATCTGCAGCTAGACGAAATCAAAATAGTTTTCGTCAGCGTGGGAAAGACAGCCAAGAATCTTTGCATATTAAATCGCGATTATAGACTTATCCCTGCGACTTAAATCAGATTTCTGATGCATAGACTAAAACGAAAGTCACTATATTGACGTACCGATCTATGCGTTAAATCGATTTTTCGCCCAGTACTAACTAGGCTCTAATTAAAAAAAAAAAAGTTTTGTACAAATACAAAAGGTATACATATAAGAAAATAGATAACATTATAAAAGCCGAATTACAATATAATGTTAATAGAAGGGAAAAAAATTACAAATAATGAAACTGCCCCTCAGAGAGAAAAAATAACAAGTACTTTATTATATCTAATTGAAATATCTTTTTGGACAGAAATGATTGCATAAAAGTTTGATTTCTTTTATTAACATCCTGAAAAGAATCAGTCATTTTTGGGAAAAAACTTAAAAGTCACCATAGTCGCCTAAGGCTGAAAATAGTAGCAAATAGTCGCATTTTAGTAGTCTGTGGCAACTCTGGAAATCTAGAAACCATGTCACCTTTATAAAAATATATCTATAAATAACTAAAGCAAATTTTCATTTCAAACTCACCAGAATCACTTAACATTAATATCTTATGAAATATGTCTTATGAAATTATGAACTGAGCTTTGAAATCATCTAATTTACTTCTTTTATTGAAAACAAAATTATCAGTTTGAAAATATCGCCTCGCTGGAAAAGCAGCTGACAACTTTCTAACCAGAACAACAGCAGGTATAGGGCTCGAGATTGTTATTGTTTACATCTATATTGAAAACACCATCCATAAATACACAAATTTTTTCCATAAGGAAAATTTTTAGGCCAAAAATTCCTCCAAAATATATTTGGACATATTCTGCTCCCTTGCATGTAAGCAATAACATATTTCAGAAGCAGAAATCAGATAATTATAATTATTGGAGAATTACTTGTAATAAATTGTTTCTCAATGGGGGCGATAGTAGTACGTTGAGGGGCGGTGAACTTGGCGGTGGTGGGGGGCGATGAGCATGTTTTGTCATTCCAATGTAATATCAAAGATTAATGTTAAAAATTAATCTAAAAAACATTAAATATAATAAATTTATCCGATTCACTATTTGCACCAGTAATAAAACGAACTCGCGCATCATTTATTCTCCAATTTGAACCAGCGCAACGCACGAGTCAGTTTTTTTGCGCCTCTGGCTCATTTAAGCCATTTTGACGAAAATTGAAATACATGTGCTTTCAGTATGAATTTTTGATTTGAACCAGGTTTCTAATGATGGTTTTTGTTCGCTTCCTTTTAGGTTTTCTCCTTAGTTTTGATTCCAGTATTTACTTAGCCAGGTACGTCAGCGAATTAGTTCTTCATCGAAAATTATTTATTAATTTTAAGAAATAGATGATGATGTTTGTATTTGGCTGACTTCAAAAATGTCGATTACCTACAAGAAATGTCATCAAAACAGTGTCAAGTGCTTGAAGTTGGGATTTTTTTAAAATCGCTGTCGAACTCTAAACTATGCTTGTGTTTAATTTGTAATAAAGTTTTATCTAACAAGGCAATGAAACCTTCCTGTTTGCAGGAGCATTTGCAAAAAAATTCCTCCGGACAAACAAAATGAAGATAAGTAATATTTCACGAAAATCAAGGACACGTTTCCTCTGTTCTAAGATTCAGTGCTGTAACGGACCTAGTTACCAGAGAAGAGAAAGCGAGGGGGCATGTGCAGGACCGGGCTATAAATCGATATATCGCGACATACCGATTTAACGCTTGTATCGACAGGCCGACACAGCGACTCTCGTTCCAGGCGATGCATCAGAAACTTGATGTAAGCCGTCGAGTAAAGAAGACGAACGATATAGTGATACAAGACAAGCAAGGATCTCTTAAGTTCCGATGCCAACTTGCGCTGGGGGAAGACGATGTACGTATCGTCAAATTGAAATGGCCTTGATGGATGAGCGGTAGAATCAGCTTAGAGAACATTTATCGTGATCTCACATATTCGTTTCCGCAACTCTTAGTTTTCCCCCTTCTTCTTTGTCGCGACTTGATATCGTTATTTGTAAATTATTTTCAGTGGGATGGACTTTGTGATCACCGCCGTTACCTTGTTCTGAACTTAATATGTTATTGAAAAGATTATATAAAGACGTAATTCTTAATTAGTAAATTTTTTTTAAACAAAATTTTTTTAATTTTTAAATGTCAAAATTAATTTTGATATTATATGTTTAAGTATTATTTTACATCATTGAATTTATTACAAACAGAAATCTAATTTAAGGTGCTCATACAGAATTACGTAAGTCAATCAACTTTGTTTACTCAAAAAAATTAGTAATGTTTGCGAATTCTTTTTGTTTAAAATAATTTAGCACCTCGTTTTATTAAAGAGTATAATCGTGTTTTTTAAAATTTTCTTTCAATATTGTCAGTTGAATATATTATCGAATATCCTAATTCTTGTTTTTATTAAAAAAAAAATATAAAACCTCACTTTGTTTTTTCGTTCAGAATTCGGTAATTATCAATTCAACTTTATTATTTATGTGAAATAATAATGATAAAAAATAGTGCTTTTTCTTTTGTTTAATTTATTTAGCACCTTGTTTTAAGCATACAAATAATTTTTAACGAACTTATTTTTAAAATTTTCTTTCTATATTGTTAGGTAAATATATTGATAAATTTCAATTTTTTATTATTATTTTTAAACATAGAAATCTTTCGTTACTTTCGCGATCATTTTTAGAAAATATAACATAGAAATCCGACTTTCTGCACTTTACAAGTAAATGAATTTTAAAAATACTATAACGTGGCTATACAAAACCGACGATGCATCACGATATAAAATTTCTTATATCGCCCAGTCCTAATCATGCGTCTTCACCTCACTAAAAATATTGAACCGATCATTTAAGAAAATGGCATTGAACCACAAAGCGCAATCATCCCACTAACATAGTTGACTGATTTTTTTGTTGATGAGAGGAAAAATTATTTTGGGGGTGTTTTTTATAATTAAGAACAAGTAACATTTCTTAACTATAGATTTTTTTTGTTGCATTTTTTTTCACCACCACATTTATTTTGATTATAACAAACAGACTGTGGTTACCTGCTGGGAGAAGAGAATCAAATTAACACGCACATAAAATTTCCTTGGAAAAAAAAAAAAAACTAATTTAATGGTTAAGAAAATGTTGCCCTTATAATTAAGCACACATAACTGAATTTTCACAAAGGGGGCACTAAAAATTTTCCTGCTCCTTAGGGGGGTGGCAATGTTGAAAAGGTTGAGAATATAAGCTGTAATGTAAACTGATTAGTTCCAACAGGGGCATAGCCAAATTATTCAACAAAAAAAGTGATTAATATAAGCACATTTTAATCACTTTTCAAACACTTTGTGAAGTGAATTCAAAGCGAAAATCAACATAGTAAAGGAAAAAAGGGAAAATCAAGCACTTTAAAACCAACACCTCCTAGAAAAGAGCAGGCCTCAGCACGGGTTACCATAAATATCCTTTAGTAGTCCAAACGTAATGACATATTTCGTATTTTCAACCACTGCGCAGCTTAGTACCCTGAACGCAATGACATCTTTCTTATTTTTCATCTACTGCGCAGTTAACTTCGTCACATCGGACTACTAAATTGATCTGTGCCGAGGCCTTCATTCTAGAAGGTGTTGTTAAAACACCCAATGAAAAAAGCACCTTTAAAAAACTCTATACACCCTGTCTAATATAGGAAAATTTGATTTTAATATTATGAGTAGCAAGCTTTTATAAAAAGCACACATAAGCTTCAATAATCTTGGCTACATTTTTTACACGTCATGAATCAGAATTAGGGCAGTATATAATGCAATTATTAGGCGATAAAATGTCCCAAATGACAAAACATATCTACAATCTGTCAAAAGATTAAACCCTTCTTATATATATTCCAAAATAAAAAAACTTTTATAAGTTGATTAAAACAGATCAGAAAATGTTGCGAGTAAGCAGCTTTGACTTGTTTACTACAAATCGCCACAAAATTTGTTTACTAGAAATCGTTTATGGTTGCCTCCTTTATCACATGGCAAACGCACAACATGGAACTGGAGACAGCCTATAGGGTCAGCAAACACACCTTTCAATTCATTTTAGTGCGATGTAGTTTCATGAGATGGGAACAAATGCCCCGTGCAAAACTAAAACTATTATCCAAAAACTGCAGTGCAAGCAACATATCTCATTAGATTGAAACATGGAATGTAAATACCAAAACACTTTTGTGTAGTACATTATAATAAATCGATGAAATTGTAACGTTTAAACATCCCCAATATTTTTTTAAAATTGAAACTGGTAAATGTACGAGCATTGGTGCCGGTTTCACCCTAACAATTAGCTTACAAAAGTAATAATAATGCAATTCAACATACCTTCAATTCTTCTAGTGAAAAACCTCTACCAAGTCTTTGTTTTGTATGGTATCTGAAAGAAGGACAGCGCACAATAGGACGAATGGGACCCTTTGCAGGTCTGGGAGCAACAAGTCTTGCCTTTTTGACACGATTATCATGCCTGCGTTTTTTACGCATAGGTTGATTAAACCAAGTTTTTACAAACCTTTGCCAATCTTTATGGAAATGGCCATTAGGTATCATATTATTTCTTTTAGGTGCCATTTTAACCTAGAAAATAAAGTAATCATTAGTATTACATGTCCTCATACAATTTAATATTTACTTTAAAGTATAGTGAAACATGAGTAAAAATAACGGTTAAAGCATGAATGTAATGATATAAAGTTATTAAAAACTTACCTAAATTTAAATTTAGAAAATAGATTATTAATATTAATTAAGATTGTTACCCCTAACCATACGATTAAACTATCCTCGAATCGACGACTGAACAACGGGAAAACTTGTTATTGTATGAGAAGTTGCCATTTTTAATTAAGTAAAAGTTCATGAAGATATTTTTTTTCGTCGTGGTGAATTTTGATAAGAAAATATTACGAAACTTGAAAACAACATTAAATTTGTGTTTAGCATCCTAATGAGCAAAAACTATAAAATTTTTTATTAATTATGAAAAAATTAGTTAACTGAAACCTTGATTCAGAAACATCGAGCAACTTGTTAGTAAACAAAACCGTTCTAAATATTGAACTGAAAAAATTCTTTAGCTCCAGTTTTTTAAAATTTTTTAGGCTTGTTGTATTGAAGATTTTATAGTGTTGGTTCGACCACGTTGATTAAGTATTTAAAGTGGATATTTACGTTTCTTTGTAAACATGACTATGGCGATCAACATTTTACAAGTTCATATATCTTCAAGTTAACTATTATTATATCATATTTCAGACCTATATTTTCATGCCTTACAAAAATTATACTTTTTTTTGGCTCTTTAAGTATCTCTAAAGCTGAATATCATGATTACTCTATTAAGACAAATTTCCCGCAACCGTAAACCATTTTTACAATGTTTTCGATGTATATACATAAAGGACGGGATATGGGTAATAAATGCTTTTATTGTTTTCTATTCTTAATTTTGAAATAATATATGCCCTAATAAAGTGCTCGCTTGTTTTTCATGTTTACCCCATCACAGTCTTTTTTTGTATTCACAACTAAAATGATTAATTTATGAAAAATGTTCTTATTACATGTGATTCAAGTAAAGAGCTTATTCTTTGTCCTAACTGATTATAAATAAATGATTTAACTATAAATATCTACTCGAAGATTGGTTCACAGAAGCGTGATTAATTTCATGAGTGTTATAAATTGTTTTGGTATTTTATTAAATCATGGTTGTTTACTGTTTATGCTTATTACTATTCACACACCATAAGTCAAAATGGGGATGTTTCCCTATCGTGATCTTCCATTCTAACTGCAGTCGTCAAGATGCCAAATTGTTTTTAAACAGAAAAAGTAAAAAAACAGCAAAACATGTACAGATTTGCATCAGGGTGGCTATGAGTTGTACCCTTCGAGTTGATAACTTTCTGTGATGTTTTTCCCGGGCCGATGCTCGGAAGTTGCTAAGACTTGGCGATACTTCTGCAGCAGATCACGATGCGGAAATTTTCCTGACATAATGAATAGCTTTCTTTGAGACTTGATTTGAAAATTATGATAAAAATCTGATTAACCTACACCTGCTGGTCCAGGGATATGTTAGAAAATCAAAATCGTCGGATTATAGAGGGAACTTTTCTAAATCGACTTATAGTCTTAAATCAACTCATAGTTTTCTGTTTACTTAAGTATGTGAACATGAAACTATGAAGAAAGTTACTCAAAACAATCAGTGACTAATGAAGTTTAATTAAATCCTTTACTTGTAACTTATTTTTTGATTATCATAAATAACAATATACTATCAAAAATTCCTAAATTTTTATCTTTTGTTTGTACAATGCTGTCATTTTTTCCCAAAGAATTTCAGAGTTTTTTTTAACAGCAGTGATTGAACTGAATGTGGAATATGAAATAGAAGAATGGCTTCAAAAAGGAAATAAAGTAACATCACTTGTAATAGTGATGAATCATGTTTTGAGGCATTTTTAACATTCATTGAAAGAATTGTTGGATAACAGGATATTCACCTCATCTTATGATTAGGCATTGGATAATTAGGGTTCTGATATATATGAATATTTTTATTTTCAGAATATTTACTTTTACAGAAGTTATTAATTTTTCGAAAAGCAATAGTTTTATTCTAAGTTATTAAGACAATTGTTTCATTTAAAATAACATATAACTGAGGAAAATTATGACAGAATTTCTATGAATGTCATTTATTTTTCAGAAACACAAAATAAATAGTTTTAAAATGCAAAGAATTATTTAAAAAGCGTAAGTGTTAATTCAGAGTTTAAGTTCATGAATAACAGCTTTAAATTATTGCTAAAATGAGTTTGGATGCACACTAGTTTTAAAACATTAATATTCTAATAATTTGTATAAGTTGACTTGTATTATATAGTTTATCAAGCAGATAATACAATGTAAAATTTTAGTTACATTATTTGGAAGATTTTTGTATGGGTACCCATCGTAAATTAATTGCTATGTTTCGATGACAACTGGGCAATGAAATGGGATAAATTTAAAAAAAAAAAAAACGTTACATATTGTTTTATCTGTACATTTAAGATTTGTTTTTAACTTTGTTTATATATATTTTGTTTTTATTTCAGTCCAAGGAATTAACTAATGATGTTAAAAAGGAAATTGAAAGCTATTGGAAAGATGAGATAAATAAACCATTTCCAAATAAAAAGGCAAATTTCATTATATTTTGTAACCTAATTTTTTATTTCTTTATTTATTTTTTTGTATTGTGAATTCTCTGCTTGATTCATGAATCTTACAAGAAATAATTTTTCAGGATATTGAATAAACATCTAATTCCTTAAACATTTTTAATTATAAAATTAGTTTCTTTTTTTTTTTTCTTTGTAAAATTTACTGATTACTTAGTAATGTGATAAGTGTTTTTTATTCCTTAAGTAATGTGCCAATGAAATAAAATAACATTCAAAATACTTTTATTATAAAACTTTGAAAATTAGGCAATATTTATTTTATTTAAAATAGTTAATTATGTATTATATACATATTATATATGTGTGCGTGTGTGAGAGAGAGAAGGAGTGAGTGACTTGTTTTCCTTAGAAATAAATTTCATATATAATTCAGAAAAATTATTCAAGAAACAAAAATATAAAAAGTAAACAGTTTTAATCAATTCTGCAGAATAAATATCAATGCATTATAAATCAAAAAGTGCAAATTCTATAAATATATATATATATCACTGGAAATTTGTGACATTAATTTTAATTACTGATATCAGTGAAATTTAGACATCAAAACCCGTACACCTAATAACTTTAAAAACTAGATATAATGAGGTTTGTATGGAACTACTTTTGTATTCCAGTCATAAAAGTTCTTTTTATCTTCAGTGTTTTTAATTTTTCAAAGCATTTTGTACCTTTTTAAATGTTTAACTGGTACCTATTCTTATGTTAGAGGCAGTCTGTTAAAATTATGTTCAACTGTTTGTTCCAAAAGTTCATATCAGCTTGTGAGTTGTTATTCAAAAATATATATTGAATTTTATGAATAGTAAATTTATGTTAGAATTTATCACTTACTGAATATATTCTTTTCTTCAGGAGGCTGAAAAGTATTATTTATTATCTATGTTTCCTTATCCATCTGGTAATCTACATATGGGACATGTCAGGGTATACACCATAAGTGATGCAATAGCACGTTTCCTCAGAATGAATGGAAAAAAGGTGGAGCTTGTTTTTTTTTTAAATTTTTTATTTCATTGAAAACAAAAATTTAACTTATACTTTTAGTTAATTTATAATTACTATAATTCTTTGTGTATCAATTTATAATTGCTTTGTATTTAAAATATTTTTTTCTAAAACTTACAACTTTTCAAGGCATTTTCTTCAACTTTTTTTTAATAATTTTTTTTGGAACAAAAGCAAACAACTTGGCTAAAATAAATAAAATGATCATAAATAAAATTTTAAAATATAGTCAAACCCCGATATAGTGAACCTTTAAGGGACCGAAATTTTGGTTCACTATATCCGGGAGTTGACTATATCCGTTAAGCAGACAATTTAACTAATGGTTCCCAAACTGCTCCCTTTTATTACACATTATTCAAATAAATATTATGTAGTAGCAAAAAATGTGTTATTTTTCATTACTCTTTGTTTTGCGTACAAAAAAAAATTGGTCATCTTTACCTGATGATCAATACTCAACATCAGATATGGAAACACATCCCGACACTCTCAGATAATTTTTTCCGAATTTCTGTTATTTTGCTTTTTAAACCTGTCTAACCTTCCGTTCGAGCACAAAAAGTAGTATCATAAAATCACTTCGCAAATTCATCGACAATTGTCCAGATACTGGAATATTGCGGCTTCTTCGATTTGTGAACCTCTTCAGTAATGCTTCTTCAACATCCTTGTGATCTGCTTTTCTCAACTTTTTTCTGCCATCTAAATTTTTTTCATGAGCTGAAATTATTAATTGCCAATTTTTCCATAAGTTACAAACTGCAGATTTGGATAGTTTATATTCTCTGCAAATATCAGCTTGATTGAATCCATTAATTTTTCTGATTGTGTCCATTTTATCATCAATGAAGAACGTTTTATGTTTACTGCTCGCCATTGTTAAATTTGAGACACTTGTTTGCAGGATTTTTTTAACTGAACTGAGAGCAAAAGGGAGTTGAAATGAGGACCTTATGAACACATATTGGGGTCCAACCCTTTGACCTATAATGAATAATTGCTCATTCCCTCTGACAGAAAATGCATATTGATCTCACTGACACCTTACAGATACATCATCTGCCTGGGTTGGAAACATCTGCTTGGTTTCTTTAAGGATGGGAAAGTGAGATAAAAAAAAAAGCAAACAAGAAAAAATGCTTATCACTGCATTCCCCTCTATAGATGGTTTTAAAACTCGGGATATGTATTTATTTTGAAACAGAAATTTCAAAATTATAAAAAAAAATTTAAAAAAAAAAATCAGCAGAAGACAGAAGAAAGTTCATTATATCCAACTTCCTCACTTTTTTGGTTCACTATATCCACAAAAAATAACATTATGCGTGTATAGCAACGCACGGGACTGAACATTTCGTTCACTATATCCAGGAGTTCACTATAAACTGTGTTCACTATAGCGGGGTTTGACTGTATAAACAGATTTTGCCCTTGTTATTTTATGTTCAAAATACTCTACATGCGTACATTTTTGCATAGATTAACAATTCAAAGAAGTTTATGTGAATTGAGGTATAAAATTTTAAATAAATTGTTTCTAAAAAAATTATTATTAAAGTTTATTTTTTGAAATATTATTTAATTAATTTTTAAAAAGTTTCTATAGAATTGAAATTGACATTAAAAAAACTCTTAATGCAATGTCAATATTGTCATATTACAATGGTGATTATTTTCAGAATTATTTTAAAGTATTTATTATTTATCAAGATTGATAATACAAAAAATTTCTTACTGGAATATAAAAAAAATAAAAAATAATAAGCAAATTTTAAAAAAATAAATAATACAGGGTGTGTAGTATTTTTAAAAAGTGCTTAAAGGTGCTTATTTTTGATTTGCATTTTTTAAATGCCTTTAAATGTGCTTATTTTTGATATGCGTTTTTTAAAAAGCCTGTAAAGGTCCTTTTTTATTCAGAGTTTGTAAAAAGTGCTTAATTTTCTATATTTTAAACAGAAACTTTTTCTTTGCTATGTCAATTGTCATTCAAAATTACAAAAAATGCATTATTTTCACAATTTTCTCTGCAATATTTATCACAAACTAGTTATTTTATCACTAGTTGTATTGATTTTATGTTTATAAATTAAGAACTTTAAATGTACCAACTTTTTTTTTATTGCTGCACAAATCCTAATCATGAAATTTTTTTTTTTTGGAAGTGATTTTTGAGTGCTTGAAAAGTACTTAAATGGTGCTTATTTTTTGTTGAAAAATTTGACTACGCACCTGCAATAAAATTTATGATCACAATTGTAATGGCATTAAAAATGTGTATAATGTAAAGTTTATTTTTTATGAAATCAATCGTTGTATTTAATGTGTTATATCTCTTTATTTTCTATTATATTTTTGCTGCTTTATTTTACTTTAAATTTCAGGTAATTCATCCAATTGGATGGGATGCTTTTGGTTTGCCTGCAGAAAATGCGGCTATTGAAAGAAATATTTATCCTTCTGATTGGACTAAAAAGTACATTATCATTTGATTTTTCACTGTTTTATTTCTAATGTATTTCCTCTACTCAAAATATTTTATGTATGCACTGTGTAAATCAATATCATTCTAATGATAATTAAAAAATTTTTTTACCTTCACCTCAAGTGGGTGCTTTATAAATTTAAAATTAAGTGACCTGAAAAGTGTCTGCACGCATAATCAGGTTTTTAATTGCTATAAAGTTTTGAAAATAATAAGGGCAAAAATATGGATTTATCCTCTGAATTTATTTGCGGATTTGCTATTTGAAGCAATTTTTTTATAAAACTATTTTTGTATTGATTATGTTATTTTATGCCTGTGTTGAAGTATCTGTGTGAAGCATTATCAAAAAGATTTTTTTATTCTTAATTTTTGCTCATCTGCAATAAAATGTGTAAAATATGACTAGTTTAAAAATTGCTCTTGGAATCAATCATTTTATTCAACTTGAGTTTTGCAAAAAATTTTATATTGTCAACAAATTATCTTACTTTTCACAAAAAATGCTATCATAGTGAACCAGTTTAAAAAGTATTCTAAGAACATTGCTGCTTTTGGTTTTCTAAATCGAATAATAAATATAATAAAAATGAAGCAAATTGATATAAGTTAGTCCAAGTATATTTAAAGTTTATTAAGTTGCCTCCATTGACGCCCGGTAGCTGAGCGGTAGCGCTTCGCGCTGTCATGCCAAAGGTCCCTGGTTCGATCCTGGGGCCGAGCAACATTGACTCAGCCTTTCATCCCTTCAGTGGGTCGATAAATGAGTACCAAGCATGCTTGGGAACTAAACACTGGGGGTTCCGCTTTCGGCTGACCACCTGACCGGAACATCTGCTCCTGCAGAGCCCAAGATCAAGAAAACTGAGATGGACACAGTAGGCCTTGGCCCTCTATGGGCTGTCGCGCCACTGAGTTTAAGTTGCCTCCATTATGTTTAAAAAGATGTACAAATTGTTGAAATGTGAAACAATTTATTTATTTAAAGTTTTCATTTCTGAAATAAAACTCAAATGTAACTAATTAAGATTACCGTTTCAAAAGTAGAATTGTAGAAGCAGTCATTCTAGTATAAAATCATTTTTGGTTCCATTTTTCTGAAATATTTCTTGATTTTATTTGTATGACATGACGGATGAAGCAAATATTAAATATTATAAACCATTTGACTGGACTAGGAAGGGAGTATCAGAGAACAAAATGGAACCAATGGTAAATAACTTTCTGACCTTGATTTTGCAAAGGACTTATGCTTACCGAACAACACACTTCAAGACATGCAAACGAGCTCAAGCATTTTAAGTGTAGAAACAAAGAAAATGGGGCTTATTATCAACCAAAATGAAATTAAAATTTTAAAAATTAATCCTAAGCAAATAAATGACATATTCTTATAAAACAACAAACTGGAGATTGTAAACAGTTTTACGTACCTCGGAAGTATAATCCCCTCCAAATAGTACAATTTCCTCCAAAAGAGGAACTGATGAAACGATACTAAATAGATTAAGCAAAGCCCAAAGCAAATACACTATTTTCAATAAATTCTTGAAAAATAAAAGCACAACTAATTTAACAAAAATTAGAATTTTCAGCACTAATGTTAAATTTGTCCTATTCTATAGATCCGAAACATGACACTGCAATAAAAATAATACGAAAACACTTCAAGTATTTATTAACTACAGTTTAAGTATCAAATGGTTTCATAAAATTAGTAACACAGAAATCCTTAGAAAAGGAAAACAAAATCTGATTAAACTGGAATTTAAAATACATATATGGAAATGAATTGGTCATGTTTTACGTAAACCTAAAAAATTTAACGCAGAACAAGTTTTTGATTGGAACCCTCTAGGTAATAGAAAAAGAGGAAGACCTGAAAATACTTGGCACAGTGTGATTATAGCTGAATGCAAAACAATAAGAAAGACACAGAGAGAGGTAAAATATCTGTTTACAAATAGAGTGAGATGGAGAGCTATGATAGAAGCCCTATGTTCCAATTAAGAGTGAAGAGTAATGTGTATGTGTATATATGTTTTCATACCTAAATTATAAATTATGTTTATTTTACCAAAGCTTTCTTAAAATTCGCTTCATATAATTTTTTTCATTAGATAGAAATCTCAACATTTTTAAAAAACCCTGCCACTTATTGGGCCTGAATGAAACAAATTTTTCGATTACATATTATTGAAAACATATAAATGTATCTTTTGCCAATAAAAGTATATTAATATTGTAAATTTCAAAAATGCTTTTTGTTTTAAGTATAACTCAGAAATGTTTGTGTTATTAACAAAAAATATTAGGTATCATTAACATGGAATTATAGGGTATGAATAAGTATTAGATGGGAATAAGTATCAGTGAATTAAATCTCAGGTATTAACAAACAAGTGATATTATCACTCACATTTTCTAGTAGCTCTGTTCTGAGCAAGTGCATGCCCTTCAATGTTTTACTTTATAAACTTTCATATTAATTTTTTATTTATTCACAGTAAACTTCGTTTAATAAATTCTTACTTCTGTAATTAAACTTAGTAAAATTTAGTTCTTTTTTAATATCGTTTATTTTATATTATTATTATTCCCTTTGGTGCTCTTTATTCACCCATCTTTTTTTATTGGTCATTTTCTTAAAAATTTGACAGATGTTTGATCGGTATTTTATGGTACACTTCTTTAAATCTTTAGATGCTCAGTCCAGCATGTAAGCAGTATAAAATATGATACCAGCAAAAGTATAGTAGTAGCATGCTGGGCGGCATTTAATATTTATACAATGTATATGATTCATTGGAATTTTTACTTTTCTCAGGCATAGTGAGCAATATAATTTTTGAGCCCTGTTGGAGTTGATAAGAGTAATCAACAGTTGTACAGCTTTTTATAAAACAAGAGCGACTAAAAAAAAAAAGAAATTTTTTTTTGCAAAGGTAGTAAGCTGGGCCAGGTTAGCCTGGTTAATAGAGCACTGGGTCCATGTCCAAGAGGTGGTGGGATCGATCCCCGTTGACTGAAGACTCCACGTGTAGTAAATGGTGACTAATGCATGTTAAATCTGTTGAGTCACAAAGTCCTCCATGTTCCCATGACAAATTATACCTCTGGGGGTACTAATCCAGGAGTTTCCTTGTCTTCTGAATTGGTTCAAAATTGCAAGGCTATAGAGTTGAACATTGATAGTCGTAAACCCAAAATTGGGTCGGCTGTTCAATGACGGTTATAAAATAAAATAAAAGGTAGTAAACAATATTAACAATCTCGTTCACATGTACTGACGGTTTTTGTTTTATTAAAATTTATCTAATTATCCAAAATTTTACACTAAGTGTTTCTGCAATATATGCAAAACTTTTTAGAAAATCAATCAAACAATGAGAGGGACTCTAAAGATAGTTTTTGGGAAATAAAAATATCAACCTTTATTTTCAGACAGAATTTTCACCATTAGACAATGTACAAATGTATAAAAATGATATAGAAAACATGCAATATATTTCCTTTACTTAAATTGATTGAATACATTTATAAATTATATTATTTTCTGAAATTTCAATTGTTCTGAATAATATGTTATTTCCTAAATTCTTACTTAAACATTTCATTATTATAAAACTAGAATGTGCAAACTGTTTAAAAATTCGTTTTTATTGACGCTGTGGTTTATTTTTAACTGCAAAAAACATTTTTTATTAATCTTAAATGTGTTATCTCTGGATTTCTCTAATTGCAGGAACATTGCTACAATGAAGCAACAATTGAAAGGACTCAATATTAGCTTTGATTGGGACACAGTGAGCACTTTTTATTTTCTATAATTTTTTTACCTTATATATTTAAGTATTATATCATCATGGACTACAATTAAAATTATTTTATTTATTGAAATAAAATACCTATTGTACACCTATTGTTTGAAATAAGATTGGTTTATTGAAACATTTAGGGATTTTACTTAATTTTAATTTTTTTAAACATAATTAGTTCATTTATCTATATTTACATTTGCTTTAAAAAATATGCTTAATGTTTCTCTATGTCAGAAAATATTTTAGATTTCTAATTTCAGGTTTTTTTTGTCATTACCATTTGACTATTTTAGTTAGTGATAAGTTATTTTATTATTAGTAAAATTATATTAATGAATCAAGCAGAATTCTGATCCTAGTGATTCATTTTCATAAACAAAATGTTTTGTCTACAGCCTTATATAGCAGCTAGTGTTTGTATCATTCAATTGACTTCAGTTATTTCTGAGCATTTTATTTTTAATAATTGTATTTTAAATATTATATATTTTTGTTTTAGGAACTAACTACCTGTGATGCATCTTATTATAAATGGACGCAATACTTATTCCTCTTGATGTTTGAAAAAGGATTGGCTTACAAAAAAGAAGTAATGCAGAATTAATTGTATTTAAGACATAATAAAGAAAATATTGTAAATGTCAGGATTACTTAAAATTTTTTAAAGTTTTTCTTTGATGTTTATTTGCTTTATCAGTTTTAAACTTTGGTAATGTAATTCTTCACTAATTTTCTTTAGTTTTCTTATGTGGCTGAATCATTTATAATTTTTTGCTTGTTCAATTTTAAGGCTCTTGTGAATTGGGATCCTGTCGATCAGACTGTTTTAGCCGATGAACAAGTTGATGAAAATGGTCGTTCTTGGCGATCTGGGTGCAAAGTTGAGAAGAGACGTCTCTCTCAATGGTTTTTGCGTACTTCTGAATTCTCTAAAGTACATATTATTTAGTGCTCTTAAACCTCTTTCATAAAAAAAGTTTTTTTTTTTAATTTAATGGTTTTAAAATACTCTTAAGAGTTTTGAACATAACTGACTTTCTTAATTTATAATGCTTTTTAAAGTAATAGTTTATGAATTGAAAAAGAGATTTCAATTTTAAAAAAGTGGTTTTAAAATTCAGCAATTTTTTTTTTAAGTTTTAAGGATATGGATGGTATAGTGTATGTGCTATTTATATAATTTTGTGTTAAATAACTGTAACTTATTTACCATCTATTAAATTTAATATTAAGCCTGTTTTTAAAATTGAAACATCCATTTTTTTTAGTTTTTATTTTATTACTTTTTATTATTCTGCAAACCATGTAAAAAATCATTCTTTCTTGCACTGTTATGATTCATGTTTTGATTGTTTTAGTCAATAATTATTTTTATTACAAAAATAGATTGTGCAAAACGTATCTTCATTGACGCAGTTATTAATGTTATTTTGAGCTATAAAATTCACAAGGAGGCACAACTTATTATAGCTGTTTATAATAGGAGAATTTTGTGATGGAAAATGCTACAGATATGCATTTTAAAACAAATAAGCAAATCCGTAATGACTGAAAATCTTTTCTAATAAATTATAATGATTTATCCAATTTACTTTTCACTTGATTCATAAATTAATATTTTTTACTTCTTTTTTCTTTCAATTTTAAAAAACTTTATCAATCATATATACACATATAGTCGAACCTCGATCGATTGTTTCCACATCTTACGTTTTCCCTAATAAATAAATTAATCTATTTATTCAAAATTTTTTTGCATCAAGTACTAATTTTTTAAAAGTAAAAACATGGTTTTAATTGAAAATTAAATCTACGTCTTTATTACTTTTCATACATTTTAAAATTATTATTTGATATTTTACATTGGTCCACATTTGCCATTTTCCTGTGTCTGTCAATCACAAAGAATAGTACTGTATAAATCGAGGTTCTACTGTATTATATTCAATTGCTTAAAAATTCATTTCTTTATTTGATCTGTTTGATGAGAATTATATATGTTTTCTAGTTATCTTCCATAGTATTAGATTTGTTTTCTAAAAGTTCTCATTTTTGTAGGATCTTTATGAAGGATTAAGTGATCCTAGTTTAGTGGAATGGAGAGATGCAATCAAAATTCAAAAACATTGGATTGGTGAACCTGATGGTTACATATTCCATTTCAAAGCCTTTCACAATGGGGAATATTTAAATGATGATTTCACAGTTTGGACAAATGCACCAGAACTGGTATATGGTGCTTCATTTGTGGGTGTCTCACCCAATCATCATTTTAATTCAACTGAGTTTGGAGGTGGTAAAGTTGGGTGTGATCAGAAATTGAATATCACTGTTCATAATCCTTTTAACGGCTTACATCTCCCAGTCATAGTCTCCGAAAATTTGGATCATAGTTCAGCTACTGATTCATTCTTAGGTATAGCTTTTATGGTTAATTCATCACGGTTTATAATATGTATTGATTATATTGTTATCACCTTTTTAACTCAAACATTAACAAATTGGCTTTTGTATTTATTATGTGAAAAATATTTATAAAGGGTTATTTATTAAATACTTTTACCTGAATAGTATCAAAAAACTTTTTTTTAATAAGATTTTTATTGGTTTGTTTATTTTTATTTATTTCATTTTGTCTCCTATTGTTAGCATTTTGTTAAAATAACACCTATAAAAGAATTAAGGACTGATTATTTTAGTATACAATCTGAATTAATTTAGTTTTTCAATTTTCATTTGTAATACTGAATTCATTTTATTTGCTGAATTTTCAACAGATCATAAATGATTTAGTCTTTCCACCTTTCTTATTTGAGGCTTATTGTAAAAGATCCTAAATGTAATTGTATGTATCAGCTTACACTATGAAATTAATTTCTACATAGAATACCTAATTATCGTTTGTTTTAGGTGTTCCTGATTCTGATGATACAAAATTTACTAAATTTGTAACAAAACACAGAACTAATACTGTTGACATTGCTGACAACTCAAGCCGCTTAAAAAATTCTGGAGAGGTGATATTTGACATTTCCGTACTGAAAAAAATTTTCATTAAAAAGTGCTCTAATGTTATAAAAATCAAATTTTATTTAAAACATTTTAACATTTATTTTTCATGCATATTTTAAAATGTAATGCAATGTTTGTTTTTCTTTTTTATGTATGTACACAATTCTATTTAATTCAAAAATATTGAAATTATCCATGCTGATATATGCACTTTATATATTTACTAGTAAAAATAATGGATGTTTTTTTTTTGATTATTAACAATGTTGGAATTTAATTTCCTGCTACAAAATTTTATTTTGGTATGATATATTATTATATATTATATATAATGTATTATTCATACATCATAATGCAAAATTACTTCACTTGAGTTAAGCATAGTTATAAAAACCTTTGCTAATTTTCTGTGACTTCATGTGAATTTTTTCAAAAATATGTTATTGTTTATTAAATGCCAATGCCACTGAAATTTTAATATGTTCATAAAATTTTTGTGTTTCTAATGGCTTTTTGGTTAATTTAAACTCACCTGCCTTTTTCGTTAAGTTAAACTCCCCTTTTGCGAATTAAGTAATGGAGATTTTTTTTGACAAAAGAGCACTGCAGGGATGAAGGTACATCTTCGCTCAGAATCCCACAGAGAGAGAAAAGCACCACACATTCATGAAGCCGCTTTCTCAATTTTGACATAAATCTGACCCCCTGAATGACTTTTTATCTAATGATGGTATCTTCACATTCTAGGATTCAATCTTTTATGGTTTGAAGAAGTGATCTTAAATAGTCTAAATAATTAGTGCAGACAATATTTTAAGGTAAGAAATAAGACACAAAGCATACCTTCTTTGAAGAAACATACCTTTTTTTCAATGGATTCAGATTTCTGACCCCCAGAATATAGGGCTAGCTGCAATCTGGGAAATATGGTTCCCATAGTTTAATCAGGAGAGCGATCCAAAGTTTCCACACCTTAACGTTAATTTTACTTTTTGTGTATTTTGCCATATTTCAAAAACTTTTTAAGTGAATTGAAAAAATTTTACTCACAATTATAAAATTAATTTATCTAAAGATGCAAAAAATACATTTTAGTAAATGTTTTTTACTTCTTTAATAAGAGTAAAAAAAATGTTTTGTGAATTGTAAGGTATGCAATTTTTTACATCATTTTAAAATATGTAATTTTGCATGGCAAAATACAAAACTTCAGCGAAATCATATGGATAGTGCCTGNCGAAAAGGTGTTTTACAGTTTTTTACCCTTCCCTTTATGTTATAGTAGGTACGCAATTACAAAAAAGAAAATTTTCATCAACACTATCTTAACACAATTTCTTTCCCACATATATATAATTAGAGTGCTTTATTTTGAAAAAAAACAAACATGATGTGGTCTCTTCATATGAGGCCCCCTTGACCGTCGGGGCCCCGGGGCGATGCCCCGGCGTAGTTACGGCCCTGGGTCACATTTCCCAAATTGGGACAACCTCCTATATTTTGAAAGTGGCCGAGCGGTTATATTTTGAAAGTGGCCGAGCGGTTAGCGTGCCTGACTGCGAAGCCAATGTCTGCTGGTTCGAATCCCTCTCTGGGCATGGATGTTTCTCTCTGTATGTTGTCCTCTGTTGTGTGTGAATGTGACCTACCCTATGAACGGGTTTGTGGCAGTGTGGCGTGGGTAATGTTGCTCGCCTCCGTGACTTAGGTTCACAGGTGCCCACTGGGTAACGTTAAACGAGCAACACTTCCGGCATCTTCCAAGGTGGAAAACGAGAGTTCAAGTACCTGCTGTTATTTGAAAAAGAAAATAATATTTTGAAAGTAAAAAATCCGAATCGGTTGAAAAAAAAATTATGTTTATTCAGTGAAAGTATGTTTTTGTGTCTGATTTCTTAACTTAAAACATCGTCTGCATTGCACTAATTATTTAGCATATTTAAGGTCATCCCCTGGAACCATTTAAGACTGAGTCCTAGGATGTGAAGATCTGCTCATTAGATCAAAAGCACTCTACATTACATTCTTTCAGCGGGCCTTAATGGAGTTGAGAATCGAACTCCAGCTCTTCTGCACCAGAGTTCAATTCTCTAACCATTGGCCTACCTTGGCCCTGAACATATAAGATAAAAATTAAATATGACATTTGAAATAAAGTTTGGCTCTTATTATAGAACATTAATATATTTTTTTATATAAATGAAATTTTGGAAACATTGAAATAAATTTATTAGTTAAAATAGTGTATGCTTTTTTTCCGCTTTCTTTTAATGTTTAGAAAAAAAAGAAAACAAATTGCTCTCAAGAGTAAGGTATTCTCTTTCAACTTATAAAATATCATGCGAATAGCATGCTTAGTTTAAAGTTTTTTTTCCTTTTATCTTTTAGTTATCTGGGTTGAGTAGAGAAGAAGCCAAAAGTAAAATTCTTGATGTTGCTCAAAGACTTAATGTGAAAGTTTATAAAGCAAGTAAAAAGCTAAGAGATTGGCTAATATCTCGTCAACGCTACTGGGGCACTCCTATACCAGTCATTTACTGCACATCCTGTAAAGTAAGTAAGTTTTAGTTCTGTTTATTTGTTTATTATTATTTTTTCGATCGAGGCAATATATTGCTGCATGTTAACAAAGTTGGAAATATTACCTGCTAGCTTCATGTATTTGTTTATCATTGGGCTTACAGCATAATTTTCTATTAAATATTTCAAAGAAGCCTAATAAGGGAGAAAATTGAAATTCATATATTTTTTTTAAATATTTCCTAAGCAGCAGAAATACTTTGGAAAGTATCATGCACTTTCCAAAGTATTAAAGATTAGTCAAATGAAAATTTTTATTAATGGATTAATAATGATGGAGTTTGGGAGTTGGAAACTAAGGTTTTTCAGTGTAACTACTAGGGGATCATTCACTAATTAGTTTTAAAGTTATTTAAATTGAGGTTTCTATTGTCAGATTTGCTCTTGTATTCTTTCATATTTATTTTACTAGATTTATTTGTAAGTAGTAGCATAATTTATTAAAAAAAATTATTTTACATTCTATTATTCCAAGAAAATTTGAACATATTTTTAAATGCTATATTTATTATCTGCTGATCTCTTAGTATTAATTATAATTAATTAATTAAAGAAGCAATCTTATCTGACTAAATTATTTTTTTCTCATTGCGATTCTAAAAATATAGATTTGCTCAAAAAAAATTTTTATTCAGAAAAAGTGAGATTTTGTGTTTTAAAAAAAATATGAAGTGCTATGGCTCAAACATTTACCTTTCCATGTAAACTATAAAAATTTTTAATGTTCCTCCTTTGCATGAAGAAAATAAAATATTTGAAATTGAACTATTAAATAATAAGTTATTAATAGTACAGTGACACTTCCAGAAAAGGCCACCTTTTTGTATCGACCTCCTCCTTTTATGGCAACTTTTGGGAGACGTGGAATTTTTTTCTTGACTCTGTGTTGAAGAAAATTTTTAAGAGAGATCATCAAAACCTCTCCCAACAACCAGGCAAACTTCCACACCAAATGCTAAAAAGTCAACTAAGGAAACAAAAAATATAAAATATTAAAAAAATGATCAAAATATTTTATTTTATAACTTCAATGAATAACCGATCCAATCTTAAGTTTACGACTACCAATGTTCAACTCCATAGTCTTGTAATTTATTTTTAAGAAAAATTACAAGACTATAAAGTATGAAGACGATAGAGTTGTAATTTTGAATCCAATCCAAAAGACAAGGGAGCTCCAGGATCAAGTATTGGGATAAATTTTTCTTTCATGGAGGACTTTTTGATGGAACTAACCTAGATTTCCGTTACAGGGAGAGGCAAACCTTCATTAGTTAGTCTCATGCCCATTTTATCAAATGGACTCTTATTATGCTTTGACATTCGAGCTTCTTATCAGAATCGTGCCTTTCTCCTGTGGGAAGAACATTATCCTCTACTGGAAAAAAACAAACAGTTGTGGGTAAGATGAATTTCACTAACCCAAAAGGGTACTTTCATTTTCAATGACAAGATAAAAATAAGTAAGATGAGAACTTGGCAGAGCATGGGGGCAGTGTAGAGCCTATGTGGTAGCATTGATATATGGAATCTCAGTTGTGAAGGTGGTGTTAAAATTCTGATAGGTTTCTTACAAAAGGGAAATATTAAAAAAGGGAAGGAAAATAGATTTTGGTCAATTAAGTATCTAGGGCATGATTTTGCTCATTTGAAGGAACTGGACGTTTTCAAGTGCCACTAATTATTTTATTGCTTAAATTTCACTGCGGTAAAATGTCCAAAGAAAAAAGTTTATCTCTCGCTTGAACAAAAGATAGAGGTGAAATTATTGCATGAAAAAGAGGATTCAGAAAAAAATTTATCAAAGATATTCAACTGTGACAGGGCACAAATAAATAAAAATCTGAAGGAAAAGGCAGCTATGAAAAAAAATGAAAAAGTTTAATGTCTGAGATGTGAAACATATGCATCAAGAGAAACTTCCAGACTTAAATGTGGTCTTGTTTGAAAGGTTTAAAACTGTGAGAGTAAAAAAAAATTAAATAAATAAAAATCCCAGAAACGGGACCCGTTATAAAGAAAAAAGCGCTGAAAATCGCTGACATGCTTGAAATCAAAAATTTTTCGGCGATTAACGGGTAGCTTAAAGAATTTCACAATAGGTATAACTTGGTTTTTTATGCATCGTTTGGTGAAACAGATATTGATGAAAAAGACTGAATGACAAGATTGCCTCTTTAACTTGCTGGATAGGATGATAAAGATATTTTAAACATGGACAAAACAGGACTATTATTTTGGGCATTGCCACCAAACAGTTTAATGTTTAAATCCATGGAGGCAAGAGGTGGTAAGTCACTAAAAGAGAGAGTTGCGATTGCATTTCGGGTAATTGCTGCATATGACAAGTAGAAACACTTAGTTAGAAAGGCTGCAAAGCCACAGTTTTAGAAGAGGGGAAAAAGACCAACACATGGAAATCTAATAGGAAAGCTTGGATATCAAGTGGGATTTTTGAAAAATGGTTACAAAGCTTAGATGCGAAGATCGCAAGGTAGAAAAGTACTGTTGGTCATTGATAATAATACATGTCACTCTTATAACATAAAATTGAAGAGTGTAAAGATAGTATTTTTGCCACTAGTGGGAGATGGCAGCTTTTGGATAAAAGCATTATCAAGATAGAGTTCAGTCACTTGATTCTAAAATCTATTATTGATTTTTTTGGAGAACTGTACCACTGCAAATTTGAAAAAAAAAATCTGTTGCTGATGCAGTGTTTGGAAAGAAGTCGATGTCTAACTTTCAAAAATTGTTTTGCTTCTTGTGACGAATTCAACACTCGAAGTTATTCATGTGAGGGTGAAGTAAGACAACTTTTTCTTATTTGTAATGTAGGGTATGATTCCAAATCAGCTGAGTACTCAATGTTGTGACGATTGAAATGGAGATCGGGAAGGGCGTCTGTTCCACAGTTTCATAATTCCAGTGAGATAATTTTGTTTTATTTTTAAAGTTTTTTTTATCAGTAAATAGTGACCGAATAAACAAGGAATTATGTTTTTGCTCTCATTCTGATAGTAAAAATGACGAGAATGAATGTTTAGAGTTACTATTAACAGCACTACAAACTCAGAAATAGATCAACAACAGTCAGAGTGCACTAAAGAATCAATGATTTATTTTTCGAGTTGAAAGCTAAATTAGAAAAAGAAGTTATTTTAAAAATAGTTAATAAGCATCTCAAACAAGCAAACCACTTCTCATTTTTTAAAGCTAACTAATTTTTATGCTATAAAATGAAATGTAAATTTAAACAAAAAAAGTATAACTTTTTCTTTATTTGAAATAGTTCTGACATTCATAATTGGTAAATTTATTTTTACACATAATTTAATCAGTAAGGGTCATTTTTATGGACGCTAAATATCATTCTTCCATCCGGCTTTTACAATGTTAACATAGGTGGTATTTTCACACCAATAAAATGACACTGAGTGAAATTAAAATCACTTGCAAAAAATCACGCACCTTTAATGTAATTTTGAAGTCAATTAAGGTAACCCCTGGTTGTTCTTAGGGGTTTTCAGGTGAGATGCTTTTTTTTTCGAAAATAACTTTTAACTCTAAAACTAAATCATTGATAGCATCGTCTTTAGTGCACTCTGACTACTGTAATATGAGGTTGTCAGTTTCTTTCAGAGATAGTCAAAAAGAGTTCTCTTAATAAGATCCACTCACAAATATTTTTAATGCATTTTAATCTACTTATTTGTTTTGTTAATATTTTTTCGTGTTTCCTTGTTTTAACTTTTCCGCATTTTGTACGGAGGTCTGCACAGTCACTGGGAGAGGTTTTGATGGTCTCTCTTAAAGGTAATCTTCAACATAAAGTCTAATGAAAGTGGTCTTTAAATAGAGGAGGTAACTGCACAGAGATTGTCTTTTCTGGACTGTGTACATAAAGAATTACAGCAAAATTTAATAATTTTTTTCACCATTTTGTTTTAATGATATTATTTTATTGGCTCCCTTTATTGTTTTAATTTATTTATTAATCTATTAATTTTTATCTTTTTATCTTCTTTCATTTAATTATTATTATAATCATTATATAGTGTGCTGCTCATAAAAGTTCTGCTAATTATGAAATTGTTGAAAATTTCTTCTGCAATTTGCATTTATAATTTAATATTTTACTGATTTATGTAAAGAGTAGCTGTAGAATATTCTTTAAAATTATAGCCATTGTAAAATTAAAAATTGTTATCTCATTGCCATTATATTTTTAGGTTGTACCTGTTGATAAACAAGACTTACCCGTTCAGCTCCCAGAACTTGTAGAATTTAGTGGAAAATCTAGTTCTCTGAAAGCGGCCCAGGATTGGGCAAATATTAAGTGCCCAAGGTATGTTTTTATAAGATATAATTAGATTTCTTTTTGACAAAATGTTCGCGGTTAGTCAGATTATTTTCTGAATTTGAATGGCTTGAATTCAGTAACATGCATTTTATCCTGTAAGCCATATTTTAAAGATAACCATATTACTTCTATATAAATTAGTTTTATGTGAAATTTCAGTGAGGCTTTCTTATCAATTAATGTTAATAAATATATAAATAACAATAAGTATTGTTAATGACGCTTCAGCATTCATTTGAATCAAACCTTCTTTAAAATGTTGAAGTTTCAAGTTGCACAGCTGCTGACTTTTACGCTTTTTTACTTTAAAATTTTTATGTGAGATCTATGACAATGTAGTTTAAGGCCCTAAAGGAGAAATATTTTTATAATTTTTTATTTAGCTAAAGTTTAAAAAATATCTGGAGCCACAATTTTCTGATCTGGTGGGATTTCTGGTATTTATTTATGCAATAGTTTTCTATTGAAAACAGTGACTAATAAAGTGAATTTACTTATCAACACACACATATGAGCAAACATATATGAGTTCTTAATTAGATAAATAGTGTTAACTATTGATCAACTTTTATGATTTTTATGAAAGACCCTTTTCTAATAAAAGTTTTTGCAATTATACAAAATACTATTTTAAGAACAGATATTTTTAAACAATATTTATAAGTTTTTCTGCATCAAAATTTTCAGAAATTTTTTCTTATATTTAGTTGAGATTTTAGAAAATTTATAATAGATTAAATTGCTAATAACTGTACATATAACTGTTAATATGTTTTTTTTATTAGGTGTGGTTGTCCTGCTAAAAGAGAAACAGATACGATGGATACATTTGTTGATAGTTCATGGTATTTTTTACGATATTTAGATGTAGAGAATCAGTCACTACCATTCAGTGTTGATAAAGTTAATAAAAACATGCCTGTCGATTTGTATATTGGAGGCAAAGAGCATGGTAATATACTATGTAACTAATAAAAAAATTATTAAGTTATGTATTTTTATTGTTTTAAAAAACTAGTAAGAAAATTGTCTTAGTTTGAATTATGAATAAATTTGTTTTTGTTCAGTTAATTTTGATTTATTTTAACTTGTATCAAAGTACTGATTTTCAAGTATTTTTTTTCTAAAACAAAAACTTTTTTTTTTATTTGCAAGTGTAACATTTTTAAATTTTCTATGTAGTTAATATTTAGTTTTTTATTTTTCAGCCTAAAAGGTTTGACATTACTTCTTTTGCCAATGTTTTAACACATTTATTGTCATTTAGATGCTAAGTACAAAAAAGAGTTCACTTTCTAACTTTTAGGTATTCAAGCCAAGGAGCTAAAATTGAATACTGTTTTTTTTTTCTTCCTAAAAAGGAGTTTTTCCTGAAAGATATTAAATAATTACAATCATTATGAAGTTTTTATTAGTCTAGACTTAATAATTAATAACCATTTCGGATAGAAATAACTATGTCACAATTCCTATTAATGTATTGATTACACTTTTATTATTTATATTGTGTTCATTTGAAGTTTACATTTGTTTTATTATTCACGATGACTTATTTTGTTCCATCTTACAATGCATGTATTTTTGAACTTTCGCAAAATTTTATATGTATTTTAAATGATTTTGTTTTTAAGGTGGCTCTTTGTTTCAGAGTTTAGTTCAATTGTTTGAAACATAAGAGAGATGAAAATAATTTTTTTTTCTTTTACATTTGATTTTATGAACTTTGGAGAAGTGTATTTTTTTTTTTTAATGTTTTAGATAGTCTGCAACAGAAACACATCACACCAAAAAATTAAATAATTAAAATCCTATTTGTACTCATTTTAATATATATTTAGATTTTACTAATTCTAGTACACATTTAATGTAATTCTCATGTACAAAGACAATGAAAAAAATTCATAAAAGATGATAAATTTGCAATCTGTAGATGTGAGAAAATATCTCCAAATGAATCTTTTGACTTTCATCTAAGTTATCAAGATAACAGTCACTTCAATTTGTTTTCGACAACTTAAATTCTGTATAGTTTTACTATTAGAGTAAAGTTTAATCTTGGGTATGACTCCAAAAGCCTCTGTACTGATCACTAACACCATAAAAAAAAAACTTCTACTATTTATCTGCAAAATCCATGATTAGATATTTCTATTTATTACTTTTTGTCTGCAAGGCAAAAGTAAATCTGTGGTGTCTACTGCTGTGTCAATTAATTTTACTATAGAGCATGGTTAAATGAAACTTTTTCCTTATAGAGTTTAGTAAGTTTTAGATTATAAAAAGGCAGTCTTGGAATTTAGAAAAGGCTCCAATAAAATTATAAATTGCCAAACATTGTAATACTTTGTTTTTTTGAACAGGCTAAATATTGAGCTAAAATTTTTTTTATCACAATTTATAGGGAAAAAAATTTTTTTTCTTCAAAATTTTAAAAAGATGTCGTTATCTTTGAATGCAGAGAGTTTCACTAAACTATAGCATGAATTATTTGCAAATTATATTTCAATTATTTTGTACTTATAATTTTCATATGATAGACTTGTTACTATTTTTTATAGCTGGTTTGCATATGTTTTATGCAAGATTTATGAGTCGATTTCTCCATTCTGTTGGGTTATTACGTCATCCTGAGCCGTTTCTACAACTTTTGATGCAAGGAATGGTTATGGGTAAAAGCTATCGCATAAAAGATTCTGGAAAATACGTAACTAAAGATGAAGTAGACTTTTCTGGTAAGCTTAGCTTATTTTTATTTAAAAATGTTTAATTTCTGATTGGTTTGGATGAATAGTATTGAAAGTATTATACTTAAGGGAATGAAATTTTCTATGATTTTTTTGTCTGCTTCAAGTCATAATTTCTTTCATTGTAAGTAAAAAGAAAGTATGTTTTAATTTTAGGAAAATTAAATGCAATAGAAAAGTTAAGTAACTAGTGATAACTAATACAACATTATAAATTTAAGCAAGTTATAATGAAAAAAACAAGAAATTCATTATTTTATTAATAGCTATTATTCAATAATAAAATAAAATAAAAATTTAAAAAATGTGTTTTTTAAATGAACAAAAAAGGAGAAAATAATTCAATTTCCGTGACGTTTAAAACAAATAACTTAGCGTGAATTACTTTTGAAAGTTGGAAGAAATTTTTGTGATAATATATTTGTATAATATATAAGATAGATTTAAAATGCTCCCTAAATTTTTCCTTCTTTTTAGCTCACTTATAAAGCAAAATCGTTAAACTTTTAGTGATTTTTTTAAAAACCTTTTTGTTTAAGTGTGTTAGTTTCATTTGTGCTGGGAAATGTTCTAAATTAATAATTAAATTTGTTCTAAATTAATAATAAAATAATAATTAAATTTGTCATTGATCTTAATTTTGGCTACCTCACAACTAGCTAGAAAGCTTCGATTTTAACTGAAGTCTGATGAAAGTATAAATTACAATCGATAACATTTAGAAATCGATTGTAATTTATACTTTCATCAGACTTCAGTTAAAAACCAAGCTTTCTAGCTAGTTGTGAGGTAGCCGAAATTAAGATCAATGACAAATTTAATTAGGCATAAATTCTGCCCATAGTGATCAGGAAATGGAGCAACATATTGAAAATTTTGATTTAAAAAAATTCGATTTAGCAAAACATTTTCTTATAGCTGTCTGAAAACTTTTATTTATATCAGGCATAGTTCAGTTGAGATTTTAAAAAACTAGGCTAGTCAAAATTTTTATGAACAATAAATTCTTGTGTAAGCAGTTAGTAAACTATTAAAATCAGGTACTTAGGTACTGAGCTTAAATTCAGTAGAAATATGAATGCTCTTGTTAATTGGAAAGTGGTAAAATATTTAATTGCTAGATTCCACTCTCATATGCAAAAAGTTGGGCTAATAAAAATCTAGTAAAACTGAACTTTAAAAACAATTTTTATGCTTCTTCAATCTATGAATGAATATATTTTGCAATTATAATTTTTGTCATAATTTGTTAGGCCCCACTCTATTGGAAAAATTCTCTGGCTCTCCTGTTATTGAAGACTGGGAGAAAATGAGCAAATCTAAATATAATGGAGTTGATCCACAAGTTAGTAATTTAATATTTTTAGATTCATAGCTTAATTTTTTTCTAGTCCTTTGTTGTCAGTTCTTCTTAGTTGGATAAATGTAACTTAAATTAATGCAAATATACATGTTGACTTTTGGAGCTAGTTCGGAGGGCCTCACAAGCTTGCAGCTTCATGACTGTGCATGGTATGACATTTAATTAATATAATAATTTATATCAACGAATTTTTTTTTAAAATTTTAGCTTATAATATTGAACAAGCGAAAAGAAATGTGATTTAAATAAATAAAGCAATCTATTTTATATTTGCCTCTTTTTTTCGAAAAGTTGTGACAAGAAGTAAATAATTGTTAACATCCTAGTGCAGTTTCATTATTGATTGAATGTTAAGTTGACAACAAAATAAAGGTAATTACCAACGGTTATACACTAATTGACACTTGGCAACTGCTATCTAATGAATGCTTCTCAAATCTATTTAAATCTATCTAAAATTGTTGTGAAGTTGCTTATGTTAACACAACTAGTGTTGCCTCCCTATTTTTTTTTTATTCTACCTATTGGACTTCAAAAATAACTTATGACGAGAGAAAAAAACTATCATAAATGTATTTTGTGTGGTGAAAAAAAATGAAGAACTTTTTTTGTAGTTGTAGGTTTTTAATTAAAAGTTAGCTGTTTGTTTTAGTATGTAGTATATTTACGTTTTTATTATTGGCACCTATAGACATGATGCATGTACATGAGACTCAAGTGCTGTTGAATTAGACACAGGAATTGTGGATTAAATGAGACAAATGTATAGATATAAATTATACTGTTGGATAATGATAATTTATTAGGCTTTAAAATGTTGTGTAATGTGTGTTTTGTATGATATATCTGGTCACTCTATAATACTGATGGCCATAGATCATAATCATGATGACTCTAAACCACCCCTCCCCCCACCATTCAATACAAATTTCGTTCATTAAATTTTTTTTTTTTATATCTTGCACATGTATGTCTTTTTTCTGTGTGCTGAAGATTCCTCCGAGAAAGCATTTATTAGTGCTTTTTTAACCTGTCATTTCTAAGCCCTTAGTATTTCTTTTTCATCTCTACTTATTTTTTTTTTAAAACTATATTCTTTCTTTCGAATGGCAAAATTTTATTTTACAGTCATATGATTTGTTTGATGTCAAATTGGTGTTGAATTGAGAATAAGTCTGCTGGACTTTTGATCGACGCACGATGCATGCTCATATTTTAACTGCTGACATTATAAAAATGGGACTTTTTTTTAAAGTTATTTATGTAGCATGTTTTTTAGAATTAAAAAATAAGGAAAGAAAGACTTAGATATTTATTTTTGTTTTACATAGCATTGTTCTAATGAGTTTAAAAGTGAGTGATGAGTTCTAATGAGTGTTAAAGTATCTCACTTGGTTTGAAGTCATGCATTTAATTATGAAATATGAGTTTTATAGTCTATTGTTACAAATTCTTATAAAATGTGTATTTTTTGTTTATCGAGGGGGAATATTGTACAAATTCTTTTACACTTTTATCCTTAATTATTAACATGACTATATTACTAACAATGCTCTTTCATTGCAAGCTTTCACCATGTCCTTGAGTTCTCGTTTACCGACATTCTTTTTCTTTGTTTTCTTAGTAAATGAAAGAAAAATTAACCATATTTTAGAAGAAGAAAAATTTTGTAATATCTAAGAAGCTTTTTTTATTTGACTAAAGAAAATTTTATGCATATTTGTCTTTGTAAGTGTGTAATAAAAATATTACTTTTTCTAATTAAGAACCAGGTTATACCTCAAATACACCTTTTTGAAGCAAAAAAAGGTTAACTTGTACAAAAAATAGATTTTTATGCTAAAAAATTTCTAATAAAATAATCATTCATGAGATTAGAGCTTCTAATTTTATCTTTTGTTTTTATATAGTTCGTTACTGAATATATTCTATATTTTATTGATTTTTCTTAATTAATCAACTCACCATTTAATCTGCCAAATTTTATATTCTGTTGGCTTTTATTAAATTTGCCTTTTTATTTTAAATTAAACTTGTGTAGTCAAGTTTAACTTTCTACATTAACAATATCTTAACTGAGGATTTAGTTTTTAGTTAGTTAAACTTAACACATATGGCATTATTTAAAGTTGATAATGTCTGGTGAGCAAATGTGTTTTATGTAATATTTTAAATTATACTAGCTGTTGACTTGGAAATTGTTATACTGCTATTCATTTTTAAAAAAAATTTCTTTCGGAATAATTATTTGAGACCTTTACATTTTAATTATGGTATCTGATAATTATGTTAATGTTTACATTTCCTTTCCTTAAACAGAAAGTTATTGATGAGCATGGTATAGATACAGCAAGGTTATTTATATTAGGAAGTGTTGCACCACAGTCACCTAGGAAATGGAATGAAGACTGTAAGTTTTAAAAAAAATTTTTTTATATTTTTAATTTTGTTGTTAAATAACTTTCAAAAATTTTCTTTTCAAATTTAATATGTATCCAGAAATTTTTTTTAATTGTGAATTTATTATTCAATAATTTTATTAGTTATAATTAAATAATTTAATTAAGTATATTTTAATAATTAAATAAATTATAATTAAATTGATTATAATTTGATAATTTTTAAATAATTTTTTTATGATTTTTTTAAGTAGATTATAATTGTTAAAAATTGTTAAAAGTTGAATACTGTAATAAATTTTTAAATAATAATTCTTTTTTCATACTTTTCTTATTTATTTTTTAACATATGAAATATTATCCCTCCTACTATAGTTTTTTTAAAGTTATTTCTATAAAATCTTTTTGTTTTCATTTCTTCATGCCCAACAAACAGGAATATTTTGTTTAAAATGCTTTGATTATTTTTCAAATAATGAATGGATTAAATATTTATTAATATTTCGAGTGCAACAATTTTTTTGCATCATTTAAAAATATGTCTGTTTATAGTATTTCCAGGCATCCAAAATTGGCAATGGCGGCTGTGGTTGACTGTTGCAGACTTTTTAGAGCAACAAAAACAATCTAACCTTTCAAGGTCATTACCTGAAGAAGAAATTAAAAAATATGAAGATCAGCTTTGTGATGCTAGAAATTTTTATGTAAAAGGTGTAAGTCATATTATTTAGCTACATTGCATTTTATTTATAGAATCTAATTTTAAATACAGGGATACCTCGAGATACAAGTTTAATTTGTTCCGTAATTTTGCTCGTATCTCAAAGCAATTTTTCCCATTGAAATGCCATTAATCCGTTCCAGCTCCAAAGATTTTACCCCAAATTATTTTTGTTACATGTTTTTGAATAAGAAAAATTTATTTATAAATGACAAATATTATATAAAAACATAATAAAAGAGAATGTAAAGCAAAAAACTGGTTTTATAAAGTGTACATTTTGGTCATTCAAATGCAACTTACACACAACTTAAATGCTACTGTATGCTTAATTTTAGTCACTGCTTTTCTCTGGTCTTTGCTTTTATAGCCGGATTAAAAAAAACTGTCCAAGGAGGTTTGTTTCTTCCTCCTTTTCAGAATGCTGCAGAAAGGAGTTAGGCAAGTGTTATTAAATAGCTCGGATGTAGGACCAGTTGCAACTTTTTCTAGATTCGCTCCCACATTCCCAAGAACTCTTTTATCTCACTTGTAGAGATAACCTCCTCCACCTCTGGCTCTTCCTCAAAAGCAATTTCTTGCAGAACCCCCGAATGCTGATGCGACTGTAACTCTTGTAATTCTTCGGTCGTCAGTTCCTGAGAGTGCTCCTTGGCGAGCTCGTTCACGTCTCTCTCACCCATTACCAGGTCCATAGATTTTCCCAGAGACACAATCTCCTCCTCCACTGGCACTTCGGGTTCAAATCCTTCGAAGCTACAGACTCAGGCGACAGCACAATTTTCGGCTACAGACTCACTCAGGCCACAGCTTCTTCCATGGAGAAGTCAAGGTTCTTGTTGTAACACTCAACCAGGCCTGATCAATAATTCTGAGGCATATCACGATGTTAAAGTGGTCCTTCCAGTACTCTCGAAGAGTGAGGTTTATGTTCTCTGTCACCTCAAAGCAGGGCCGGAGCAGGTGCTTAGTGTACAGCTTTTTCAAATTAGAAATTACCTGCTGATCCATGGGTTGCAGGATGGCAGTGGTGTTAGGTGGTAGATAGAGAACCTTTATAAACTTGAATTCTTTGAGGATGTCATGTTCGAGGTTTGGTGGGTGAGCAGGAGCATTGTCGAGGATGAGAAGGGCTTGCATGGCCATTCTTCGTATATCAAATAACTCGTATGTCAGGGCACTCGTATCTCAAGGGCCCACTGTGTTATTAAATAATTCAATAATTTTACAAGTTTAATTTGTTTTTTAGCAATCTTTACATTTTATGATTTTGTGTACATTTTGTAATGATTAAACTTAATAGACATAATAAGAAATTTGGTTGTAAAAAATGTTGAGAAATATTTTAATTATATAAAACACACAGAGTAAATTTAAATATGCATATTTGATAATTAAATTTTCAATTTAAACCTTTCTTATGGTATTTAGAAAAACGTTCTCTGTGTACTTTAGAATTTATTTATATATTGTATAGAAAGATAATTTAGATAAATAACTTACAAAAATTTAAAAATTTTTATAATACAGTAGAGAACCATTTATCCGGTATCCAGATAAACGGGAAACCAGAAAACTGGGAAGAATTTTGCTTGGTTTTCCCGCTATTTTAAAGTACTATAAGGATTATAAAAAAAAGCAGAAATTTGACTCATCCTTAAAGTTGAGTAGAGGGAAAGGGGGGAATTCTTCTCCTCACTTGTCCAGAGGAACTTCAATTCTTCCCCTGACCTTGAAGATCATTAGATCTAGAGGGGGAAGGGAAGGGACAAATGTTTTATTTTCTCCTGTGTTTATTTTCTTTTTCTGATAAGCTGCCATCAATCAAACTTAAAGGAGTGGCAAGCTGATTTCGTTTTCTCTTTGATTTACGAGGGGGTGGGGAAAATGTATTGCACAGGCATAGCAATGAATGTTTGAGTTAAGGAACTTGAAACATCTGGCTGAAATGTGAGATTTATTTTAAATCATCCACTTCAGTTACTCAGTTTTGTTATATATTATGGTGAATTGTTTTATTATTTCAGATAATGCATTATTTAATCACCAGTTATATTCATCTATTTGACATCAATTAACAAAACAATATTTTTTTGTTGAATAAATTCTGATTTCTTAGAAATGGGATATCATTAGCAAGTTTTTCTTGATGTGTAATCACATCTGCTTTCATTAAAAATAGTATTTTAATAAAAAAATAAATAAAATAAAAGGAGAAGATTGTTTATTAATTTAAGCATATAATCATTTGCTAATAAAAGCAGGCGATTATTTTATAAAGATTGTAGTTTTTTTTTTTTTTAAATTTTGATTCTGTTTTTCTGATTCCACTGCCTTTTTTTTTTCCTCTCCTTTTAACGTAAATTTCCTACTCAATAAATTAATTATTTTTGATCATAAATTTTATCATTAAGTTTTTTATTTTTTATTTTAATTCCGTTTATCTTATAATATCCTGTATCCTCCAGGTTTTAATACTTATGTTAGTGCCTTTTTTAAATATCGTTTCCGTTCCATAATTTTCAAGTGTTGTTTTTATTTAGATTAATAAGTTTTCTTTTCATCCCCCCCCCAATATAATTAGGTATGAAATATATTGCGTTTTTTAATTATTGATTTTGTTTTATATTAGTTAATTTGGAGACTTTAATTATTATCAAAAAATAAATATGCAAATTACGTATTTTTTAAACTTGTTTTTCTTGTCTAAATTTGCAAATGTTTTTATCCTTTTAAATGTTATTTTTCTACCATTTCTTTTAATTTAGAAGATCTTTTCGTTTTTTCCCTATTTTTAAATATGTTTAACTTTTTCCTTGTAATTTCGGTTTGATAAAACATCGATTAACGGCACTTTTGGCCGATCCAGAAAACCGGGGAATTCAGACATCCGGGATAGCGATGGTCCCGAGCATCCCGGTTAATTGGTTCTCTACTGCAGTGGTTCTTAACCTTTTTAAGCCGCGACCCAAATTTGAGAAATATGTTCATGTCGCGACCCAAAAAAATGTCAAAATTAGGCTGAGTAAGCCACAATGACTTCTTCTAGGAGGTGTTGGTATTACTTATTANTTTCTTATGGTATTTAGAAAAACGTTCTCTGTGTACTTTAGAATTTATTTATATATTGTATAGAAAGATAATTTAGATAAATAACTTACAAAAATTTAAAATTTTTTATAATACATATTAAAGTATTTACTCGATGATATTTAATATATTAATAAAATTATCTAGCTTAAGATTTTTATGGGTAATGCTATATGTGAACTAAATCTCTTGCGTGCTGTAAAAGTTTGCTTACTAAAAATTCAAGTCATTGGGTTGCCAAGAAGAAAAATTTAGTTTTCTTGTGATTCTTATTTAAGATTCTGCATCTCAATACCTATTTTTGAATAGAGGTTATTAAAACAAGTGTTATCCTTTGTATGTTTATAAATTCAATATTTTCTTATAAATCACAAAATAAATTCATTATAAATTTATTATTTTATATAGTATGTAAAATGGAACTTTAATTTTTATATGCAAAATATATTTTTTAAATAAATTGTTAAAAAAATATATGTATTTTGTTAACTGTTTTATTTTTTTTAAAGTATTTTACTTTTGCTCTTTAACAAAACTTTATTTATTTCACCCTCTTGTTTTTTAAAAATTTTTTTATTGAAGTTAATATTTTTTTTATTACTCTGCTAAAAAGCAAATATTTTTTTTTAGATTACCCACAATTTCATTAATACCAGACAACTTAGTGTAGCTATTGCTAAACTACAAGGTTTGACTGGTGAATTAAGAGTAAGTACATTTAGATTGCAACAAATTGAGGTTTATAATGTATTATTATTATTTTACTTATTATTAATTTATTTCTTAAAGAATTGAATTTCATAATTCTTTAATTTATATTTTATTCTATAAACCTTTTCTCAATAAAAAGGAACAATTGATTTATTATTAAATGTAGTTACAGAAAAACAAAAGTCAAATTCTATGAGTAGACTATCTTTCTATTATCACTGTTAATAATATTAGCATAAAAATTCATGTTCATTAACAGATTTGATATAAATTTTTAACATTCTTTTAGTTTTATCTTTCACCAAATTTGTTCAAACAGGGCAATTCTTTTTCATTAGATTGGCCTTATTTTAGATAAAATGCCAAATAGTGTTCCTCTATCCAATGGGAATTCTTCCACAGCATTCTTTAGAAAAATTATAAACTAACAGGTCATGTATGCTTCCCCTTCACCTGACCAACCATTTAAAATTTCCAACTCTTTTTTTTTTCTTCTAAAAATTCTGAATGTGATAAAGACTATCACAATTTAAAATTCAGATAATATAATTTTGAGTAAAACCGTAGCATAATAAAATAAAAGATGCCAATTTTGCTTATTATAGGAAATGTTATTTAATTTGAAACAACATTTTCTACTCATGTGAATTATTCATCATTACCTGCTAATCAATATACTTAGTCATTAACAATCAGTCTACGACAAATAATTTCTTTTAATGACAATCTTGACCACGTTTATAACACATATTTACTTTAGTATCTACTTAGGGATTTTATCTTTATTCTATAATTGGTGTTGAAAAGGTAACCCAGTTCTAAATTTACGACAATAAAGTAGCCTTGTAATTTTGTACCCAATCCAGAAGACAAGGGAACTCCTGGATCAAGCATTTTATATTCTTTTATAACCGTGTTTGATCAGCCGACCCAATTTCAGGTTTACGACTACTGATGTTCAACTCTGTAGCCTTGTAATTTTGAACCAATCCAGAGGACAAGGGAACTCCTGGGTCAGTACCCCCGGAGGTTTGATTTGTTATATGAAAATGGAGGACTTTGTGACTTGACAGATTTAACATGCATCAGTCACCATTTACTACACGGGGATTCTTCATCTGGCAGGGATCGAACCCACGACCACTTGGACATAGGCCCAGTGCCCTACCAACCTGGCTGGGTCGAGCATTGGAAGAAACTGACTTTAATGGAAGACTTTTTGATAGAACTGACCCGCATTTGAGTTACATGGAGAGGAAACTGCCAAGGTTAACCCAGCACGCAAGGGGATTCTTACCCATGATCTTTTTATCACTGTGGTCTGTGCAAGGCGGGAGCAGAATTCTTATCGACCAATCAATGCTTGGATTTGAACCTGGGGCACCTCATTGGTTGGCGAACACTTTATCCCCTGAGCCTCCGTGGTCCTATGTGAGGTTTAAAAAATATCAAATGTCTGCAGCCTTGCTACTTGAAAACTGTATCAAATAAAACCAAAACCAGTAACCATATATATTTGGCATTAAGGATATTAGACAGTTTTAATTTAATTGCGTCCTTTTTTGTTAGAAAAATAATTGATTTACTATAATGAGAGGAATTTAACTTTTTTAAGAAACCAGTTTAAAATAAATAATTTTTAGACATTAACTTTTTACATGAAATAATTTTAAAATATTGACATTGTTTTTGAAAAACTAAAAAACAATTATTTTTTATAAGTTTTTAGTCTTGCATCTTATGGTCTGGAAAAGAATTTTTTAATATATTTTTACATATGTTGCTGAAGTTTGAACTTTCTAAGGCATAAATTTTATCTCTTTTCATCGCTCTAGTGTTATGTTATTGTTAAAATATTTATGTCTTTAAAATTTTCAGCGAATCCCTAAAGTCTTAGCGCAGTCTCATGAATTTGGAAGATGCTTAGGAGATCTTATTATAATGTTAGCACCATTAGCACCTCATTTTTCTTCTGAATTATGGAGTGCATATTGTGGCGCAGTTACAAATTCTAATTATTCTTATGACTTAGTAAGTAAGCAAACTTAGTCTCTATGTTTTATAATATGTTTTTCTTATTATACTGGGTGTTTTTATTTAAACTGAGATAACTCAAAGGAATCTGTTCGGTAATCTAACTAAAGAGATTAAAATGATATGGGAAATAAGCTTTTGTTAAAAAACGGAATCCCAAATTTGATAAGAGAGTGAATAGTCATGAAATCCATATGAAATTTTCTCTCTTAGCTTGAAATATTAGTGTGGTTGCTAAAGTACGGAAATTCATGTTCCATACATCTGTTCCATAATCATTCAAAATCAAAGAGAAACTTGTTACTAGTGTTCTCTATAGCACTAAAATGGTTTTATTGGCCGAATTCTTTGACTATAATAAATTCTTTTTAAAATGTTATCTAATTTTTTCTGTTTTATTTATTTTTCTTATATGTGACCCGTTTTTATTTTTTTATTTCCTTCTATATGCAAGTTCTGGAATTTTTCGGTTGACTCTTCTTTCTTAAATCCTTTAATGAATTTGTTCCGATTATTGCATTGTGCTGAAGATGCCATTATTTATAAAAAGTGGCCACAGAACATGGAAAAGTCTGAGAATTTCATCAGCCTGGAAAAATTAGGGAATTGAATAAAAATACCCAAAATGTTAGAAAAAATAAATTATTCTGACTTTGAGGCAACAAGTCCAATATTTTTTCAAGAATATTGCTCTAGTAAAATGATACAGTAGAAGTCCGATAATCCGGAACGTTCGGGACCGGCTCGGTGCAGGTCTACCGAAAAGTCCGGTCTATCGGGCGGTAATTATAAGAACAATTAGGTTAGTAATTAAACTACAAATACAGTATGCAAATACATAAAACAAGGTTTATTTTACAATTCATATTATGTATGTACACGTACTGTGAAACATATTTCACTTAGATTTAAAAAAGTCACGAATGTCTTTTTGTTTTCTTGACGTTTAGTATAAAATTTATTTCTAATGATATGGAAATCAATAATTTCTGAAGCACTGTAGCTAGTACTAGCCTCAGCAAATGAGATAAACTTATTTAGTGATTCTGCAGCTTCTGCCCAGCTGATTTTTTCCTTTTCTTCCATGCATCTGAGTCACTTTCTTCAATATTTTGAGTAGGCTGAGGGTTTACTACAATGTTGATAATGTCCTCATCGGTTTGTTCTTGTTCAACAGGCTCATTCTCGTCAATTAGAAGCCACTCCTCTACCTCATCTTCAAGCAGGTTTTTCAAGGGATTGTCAGCACTTTCAACGACATCCAAAACTTTGGTCAGAGCGTCTTGATGGTTTTCTTCCTCATCAGTCTGTAGAGTTAGGTCAGATGCAGGGTTTACAGCTACAGTTTTCTCCAGCATTTTTGGAGTGTTGTATTTTTTACCTGGTTCCAAGACAGTGCAATAGCATAGACGGCATCTTTTACTGTAAACTGTTTTTGAAAATCAGTCACGTCACAGTCAGTATTTAACAGGCCTTAAATAAAAGACCTTCTATAAAAGCATTTAAAATTTTGAATAACCCCTTGGTCCATGGGTTGAATCAAAGATCTTACGTTAGGTGGGAGCAGAGAATCAACAATATTTCCAGAAACTAACTCATCTACTGGCGGGTGGGCTTTGCAATTGTCCAAAAGAAGGATGGCTTTAGTATCTTCTGGTAGACCAAGGCTTTTGAAGGATTCCTTGACCTCAGGCACAAAGTGGTGAAAAAACCAGTCTTTAAAGAGGGCGGCAGTCATCCAAGCATTTGATTGAGCATCGTATTGGACAGGCAAGTGTGTAACATTCTTAAAAGCCCTGGGTTTTGCAGATTTACCTATCACAAAAGGGGTCACTTGGTGGTTTCCAGACGCATTAGCACACAGCAAAACGGTTAATCTATCTTTGTTTTTTTTAAAACCCTTGGCTGGTTTTTCTCCTTCCCCAGCTAGTGTAGATGTTGGTAAACATCGCCACAATAGCCCTGTTTCATCAGCATTGTAAATCTGTTCAGGTGTTAAATCATTATCAGCCACGTTTTTCTCAAACTCGTCTTTGTATTTTTCTGTATAGTTTTGGTTTGCTGAAAGTGTTTCTCCAGTTACATCAAGTCTTCGAATTCCATGCCGAAACTTAAAGTTTCTGAGCCAACCATCAGAATAATTATATTCACTTTCAGCAGCTCCTAAATCTTGGCCGAATTTCTTTGCCTTTTCAGCAATCATTGGCCCTGTTATCGGCTTTCCTTCAGAACGTACTACACTAAACCATTTGAACAATACACTATCTAGCTGTTCCAGTTTTTTTTTTTTTTAATGTTTGTCTAGAAGCCAATTTTTCAGTTGTTACCGATTGAGAAGCAAACTTCATTAGTTCATCTTTTTGTTTTTTAATGTCATAAATAGTTGCTGAGCCAATATTAAACTCATTCATTAAAACATTTTTATTCTCGCCTTTTGATGATTTCTAGTTTCTGATTGAGAGTCAGTGTTACGTGTTTTCGTTTCTCTCCTTTTGAACTCGGAAGGCTTGGGTTTTGAAAACATGATCACTGTACAGTTAGAACGAAAATCACTTTTTTTATAAATAGTTTAAAAAGTTATGTTTACAGCGATGTGAGAGAACACAAAACAACAACGCACAAAAAAATGGCGAAGACGCTTCGTGATTGATTAACGAAGCTGCACAGCACCTGTTGTTTCCGAACAATACCGAGTGCTTCCGGATGATCCCGAAAACTTCAGATTAGCTCTCGAGCGTTTTTATTTGCTTTAAAGACACACTTTTGGAGAAAACCAAAATTTTTACAATTTTCCGGAGCGATGCCAAACTATCGGGCATTCCGGACTGTTGGATGCCGGACTAATGGACTTCTACTGTATATATATTTTTTATTTATTATTTTTTTAAAAACAAAATCGTTTCTTTTCAACTCATGTAACAAGTAAAAATGTTATGTATTGCATTTTGTATTAGGAATTTTTTCTTTCAGTGTTTGCGACAACCCTGTTATTATATCAATGGCTATTTTAATTTTCTCTCCATAATCATAAAAATATCATGCTTAAGTTTGATTTCTGTCCTTGTTAACCTAGTTTTTAACTATGATTATAATTTCTTTGAAAGAATTTAGCATTGTTTGAATTATTTCAGTGTTTCCTTATTTGTTTACTTTTTCTTTGATATTTTGAATCATTATATTATTGTAATCAAGTAGTTTCTATATTTCATCAAATATGTAAAGTTATTCTCTATCTGTTACATACATCGATTCTTACTTATATAGGTTTGATATTAAAAAATAAAATTCCTCATATTTTAATAATGTTTTATACAAATTTGTTTATTATGTATCTAAATTCTATTTTGTGTTGTATACTTTCTTTTTGTCTCTTAGTTGTTCAGATTAGCGTAATTTTAGCTATTTTTGTTATTTAGAAATCTCCTGTTTTGCTTCAAAATTGGCCTAAAATGGATGTGAATTGCAATATGCAGATTAACATAAAGGTATTATCATTATTTCTTAAAGTTTTTACTATTTGAATAATTTTTGAGATCTTGCAAGATTAAATGAATTGAAAAAAAAACAAAAAACAATGCTTTTATATGTATTCAGTATCATTTTATGTAATACAAAATGCTATTTTTTAGGGATAAAAAATGAGGTAATTTTAGTTTTTAAACAAAATCAAATTTTAACTTCACATAAGTTTACAAAGTTATATAAGTTTGTAATACTTAAGTTTCATAAGTTTAGTAAGCAATAAGTTTAATTACAGCTTATAACTATTAAAAAATAAATTGAAATATAATCTAATTGTATCTGTAGTAAGAAAGTTTATCTTTGTGGTTATGGGAACTGTGTAAAAATCACCATAAAAAGAGTTAAAAGAGAGACATTTAGTTTAGTACATATTTATAGCCTCTTAAAACAGCGATGTTTTATTTTTTTCTTTTATACTTTTATATTAAGTTAATTTCTTAAAAAACATTTTGCACAGTTTGTTTTTACATTCTACTAAAATAAATTAACAAAACTACACTTTATCTAAACATTATAGAGTATATTTTGTGCTAAGTAAACTAAAATAAATAAGAGCATGAATAAAGCATAAATGAAAGAACAGAAAGGGAAATGTATTCTATAATTCACATAAGTATCATGTTAACGTGGTGTTGCATGTTTTTTATTTTATTTTATAACCATCGTTGAACAGCCAGAATTTGTATCAACCAGCTTTTGCAGGGATTCGAACCCTGATAACCAAATTGGCCGACGAACGCTTTGTCCCTTGAGCCGCCACGGCTCTTTTGCATGTATTTTATTTTATAACCATAGTTGAACAGCCGACCCAACTATGAATTTATGACTACTGATGTTCAATTCCGTAGTTTGAACCCAATCCAGAAGCCAAGAGAACTCCTGGATCAAGTATTGAGAGAAATTTGCCTTCTTGGACAGCTTTTTGATAGAACTAACTCGCATTTGCGTTACATGGAGAGGAAAAACACGAAAACCTCCAGCAATTAACCTGAGGGAAACCACTGAGGACATTTTAGATCAGCAATATGTCCAGTCTGTGATGGGTGTGGAATTCATTTTTTCACTCGATAATTTCGTTACAATTCCATCCGAAATTCACAATGCCCTTTTTTATTTTTTTGCAGCAGTTATTGCTCTGAATTTCTAATAGATTTTATAATCTCGCTATTTCTAATACATAAGTATTACCACACACAAATTTCAAGTCACACATTTCAGTAATCACTTCTTGACACTTTCCATTGGCCAAGATTTCATCTTTGATCAACATTGTTTTGATGTTCCCTTTTCATGCAGTTTTTGCGTTGAACTATCCAATAATTTTTAAGATCGTACTTATTTATTTTCGTTTTCAATATGAGATTACGCTTTTCAATATGATTCAAAAATTTTTTAAAAATTTCTCTATCTGGAAAAGCTTAGATAAACTAGTTTTTTCTTTATAATTTAATTATCTTAACATAATTATTAATGAGTGGTTTTTTTTAAAAATTAATTAATGATTATTAAATAAAGTGAAATTGTAGTTATTATTATATATTATTCTTAAGCAATTATTTAATCTTAAAATAAACCCCTCTTTGTTTAATAAATTTTAGTCTTGTTATTTAATTAAATTTTTAGTTAAAAATATAGTCTTATTTTAGTTGAGAAAAATTCAAATTCAGTTTCAGATAATAATTTAATTTTAAATGCAAACTTAAAAATTATAGGACTTAACTGTAAGTTCATATTTATTTTTTTACATTTAAGTTGCCAACTTGCAATTATTAACGTTCCATATTAATTCTTAACCAGTTACAGAGATTTGTCTTTGATTCATAACTGAAATTGAAATTTCTAATATTTTCATTTAAAAAATAAACTATAAAGAAGTATAGAAAAATTTAGAAAATCTGAACTTAATTTTTAATAGTAATTTAAAAATACAGTCGGACTTCTATTTTGCGAATTTCTCTATTTTGCGATTCTTTTCTTCGAGGAACCAAGAACATTTTGCGAATTTCTTCGTAAAATAACTTCCAAATAGCGAAGTGAATTTTCTATTTAACGAACTTTTTTTTGAGATCCACTTTTCCCATTTCCCTAAATATTTCAGAACATTTCAAACTTGTTAACGCATTTTATGGGGTAAATGACCTTGAATTGATTTTCGAAGCCACTTTACTTTAAAAGAAAGCGGTAAAATCTTTTTCCCTTTTTGTTTGCATTTCAAATGAAAAACTCAGTTAAAACTAACGGATCTTATCAGTAGTAATTAAACTTATGAACGCATGTGCCAATGTAGTATATTTAAAATTACTTTTATAATAAATGCAGTTATAATTTTATACACAAATTTAGCGTTTTTTAGTTGAAAATGTATGTAGCATGATAATGTAACACTGGATAATGTTTTGCTCTATTCTTGCTTTCCATGCAGATTTCTTTGGTGGTTAAGATAGATAAAGATAAAGGTGTATCAATTGTTATTTTAATTACATCTAGTGTTTATGAATTTAAAACCTGTTTTGTATTGTTAAAGTATTTCAAAAGGTGATTTTCCAATTAACGAATTTTCCATACAACGAACTTATTATCGAGATTTAGCGACTTCGTTAAATAGAGGTCCGACTGTACTTTAAAATGAATGATGCTATACAGATCATATGCTATAACTGCATTTCTTAAAACGTCATCGCATTCCTACCATAACTGGTATTTTATTTTTTTATACTTTTGCCCTTTCATCCTTTTACTTCTCTTATTTTGGATAAATAAATTTAATATTTTAGTTAATATTTGGCCAGTAAGTTGTAAAATACAAATTATTTTATTTTAAAAGATGTCATAAATAAAATAAAAAAAAATTTCCTAAAGACAACCCTGATTCTGTGCTCACACTTATCTACCAAAATACCACACTTGTGTACCAAAAATGCATCCATACTTTTATGACCGTTGGCCAGTTGCTACTATTTATAATATGCTACTATTCATAAATATTTTCTTGAAAAATAAAAGATATCTATTTAAAAGTAGTTGTACAATTCATTTTTTGAAATCCAACAAATAAGACTGGAATTGCATTTGAAATATTTGTATTTTTCTTCTTCTTGTAAGCCCAATTTAGTATTTTATAATAAAAACAAAAATTGCATCTGACTCATTTCATTTTGAATTAGCTGAATGGTGATGATTGTGATTGTATACCCATTTCCCGCCTGGAATTACTCAACTTATCTGAAGAAAAAGCAATCAGCATAGCTTTATCTCGTGAGAAAGTGTTAGATAATCTGAATGGCGCAAAAGTGAAGTACGTTCGCTATAAAATCTGGCCTGATTATGATCCTGAAGTACAAATAATATTTAAGCCATTAGGAAAAAAGTCAAAGAAGTATAAACCCTTCAAAAATTCAATGACTGCATAGATTTTTTTTGTGTCAACGAAACTGTATATAATGTAAATAAATGAGTTTTTTAATTGTATTCGATAGTTCTCTCATTTTTTTAATTGTTTATTTTTTGAAATATGTATCTCTCATATTTTGCCCAGTATAGTTTTTGTTGTACAGTTTTGTAGTAGTAATTTGAACACTTTGAATAAAATACGTTTTTTTAGCACTAAAAATACTTATAAATATAGAGTAAATAGGTTACAGTTATGTATGGAGCTCATTGGTGAGGCGTCACTCCATAAATTTCGGCCTACTTTTAAAAAAATTATTAATTATTTTTTTAGAAATGACTTCATTCGTAAACATAGATTCTCCTCCTTCAGGAATGATTCATTTGTCCCTCCTCTTTCTTAGAACGATTGTTTTTTAATATAGTCCTCGATTTCAGTAATCACTTCATCTCATTCTTATTTGGGTACCAGGGCATATGGGAATTGATGGTAATGAAAGAGCTGATGAACTCGCAAAACAGGGATCCTCTTTCAATCCAATAGGAACGGAACCCTTCTGTGGAATCAATATGAAGACTACAAAGAAGGCTGTCCTAAAATGGGAAAAACAGGAGATGAACAAAGTTTGGCGCAATTCTCCTGGACAAAAACATGCTAAAAGCATGATCAGCAGCCCTTCTGCAAAAATTGCTTCTGAAATTCTTAGGCTCCCAAGATTGAAGATTCAAACAATTGTAGGCTTCATCACTGGGCATTATCATTTCAGGAAACATCTACATAGATTGGGACTTTTCGAACAAGAACCAATATGTCGGAAATGCCGTGAAGAGGTAGAATCAGCACATCACATCCTATACGAATGTGATGCCCTCGCCCTTACGCGCCTCACTACCTTAGGCAATCCATATCCTAAAGAGCTTCACCTTAATTCCATTAAGGGACTGTCAGACTATATTAATAAAGTAGGCGACCCGAGACAATGGAACTAGGAAAAATTGGGCTTGGAGTATGGTACAAAATGCAACATGTGCAGAGGTGCCACATATCTGACAAGCTCAAGCAAGAAGAAGAAGAAGAAGAATCACTTCATCTATTTAGGGAAGTTACCCAAGTGGATTTTGATCAAAGTAGTACCGTTGCGGAATTTGGATCGAACCTGGTTCACCTCATTGGAAAGCGAACGCTCTATCTCTCCAATGTTTTATAACCGTCGTTGAGCAGCCGACCCAATTTTGGGCTTACGACTACTAATGTTTAACTCCGTAGTCTTGCCATTTTGAACCAATCCAGAAGACAAGGAAACTCCTGGCTCAATACCCCTAGGGCAGTGTACCACCAGGGGTACGGGAACAGTTTAGCGGGGAGACGCGTTCTTATGCGAAATATCTTACAACAAAAGAAAATTTCAAAACATTTTATTTTAAAATAATGCTAGCCATGAAAATTTACGATTACCTATTTTTCTATTGGCCATTTTTTGCGGAGTCAACAGTTAATAATTAGTGGTATCAACAGCCAGTTGTGATTTTTAAGTTTTGTGCAATTTTTTTATAGTAAAAAATACATTTATTTTTTTATTAGTAGTACACGGCGTTGCGAAAAGTTTAGAAAGGATACACAAAAATCATAAGTTTGGGAAACACTGCCCTAGAGGTATGATTTTTTATGGGAACATGGAGGACTTTGTGGTTTGACAGATTTAAAGTGCATCAGTCACCATTTATTATACGGGGAGTCTTCGTCCAGCGGGGATCGAATCCATGAACATGGGTTCAGTGTCCTAACCACCAAGCTATCCCGGCCCTATGTTTTATTTTATTTTATAACCGTCGTTGGACAGCCGACCCAATTTTACTGATCAAAAATCTCATTCCTTATAAAATGCAATAGTTCAATTCTATTACTTCAAAACAAAATAAACATTGAAATAAGACATCATCAGATGTTACTGTAGAATTCGCGATCGCAACGAACTATAGGGGGCGTTGTTGTATGAGACTAATACCTGCGAATTCTATATGAACAGTCATTCATTTACTCTAGAGACGTCTTTAATGTAGCGTGTAGCATTGCAACGTTCCTTCTTTATCTTGGCTAATTAAATTTAAAAAAGAAAAATGTTTAATATCCTTTCTTATGCAAACGAAAACAAAATGGTATCTCTTTTTTTTAGAGAAGGAACATCCAAAACACATCGAAAAAATATTTGCACATAAACAGAAAAAAATAAGTATCTTCTTATAAGAGTTAAAACCTAATTCCCGAGATATAGTTTTACTAAATTTAATGATATAACATGAAAGGCCTATTTAAACTTTACTTTCCGTAGTTTTAAGAATCATGTTACTTCAAAAATTAAAATGAACAAAAAATATACATAAGCCTCATTTTATGAAATTTAATTTAGTAAAAAAAGTTTTTTGACAACAATTTTTATCAAAAAATTTCAAGTTTCAATAAAAATCATTATTTAGAAACTAAAAAACGTAAAATAAAGAATGCTTACGATACAAAGCAAAAAAGAAAAAACCAATTCTAAAAATTCCTTACATTAAAATAAACAACTTTCATGTTTTTTCTTTTTTGATTCATAATCGGACGCAGAAAACCATTCTATAGAAAACTATCATCAAATAAGAAAAAAATTACTTAAAAGTAAAATTTTTTATTTTATAAAAATTAACACTTACCTGCTTTATAAATCAGAAGAATTCCAAAATGATTTGTTCTTCGATTTTTGTTACCATTTTTTAGTGCTACGAAAATGCGTCTTTGGGATTTGCCAAAAATAGAACAAGATGCAATTTTATTTTTTCAGGAGCGAAATATTTTGCCCATTGTCCACCGAAATCCGATAAACTACTTTGATTTTAAATAAAGTGTTTCATTTTATGATTTGTCACAAAAATTTTAGGTGTAGATTGGCGGCACTTAAAAACAGCCAAATCTGTAGCTGCTGTGGCGTTAATACATAAGTACCGAATTTTTATTCATACTTTTCTGAATCATATTACTTGAAACATTAGAATATGCAAGAAGTATACATAAACACATAATGTTATACCATTTATGTTTTCAAAAAAAGTATTTTGACAACAATTTTTATCAAAAAATTATAAACTATAAAACGGAAAATAAAGAATTCTTAGGATAAAAAACGATTTTAAGAATTCTTTACATTGAAATAAAAACTTTCATATAGTTTCTTTTCTTATAGTTCTTAATCAGACGTAAGAAACCATTCTGTAGAGAACTATCATCAAATAAGAAAAAAAAGTTTTACAAGCTAATTTTTTATTATAAAAATCATAACACTTACCTTCTTTATAAATCCGTAGAGTTCCAAATGAAATGTTCTTCGTTTGAAAGTTTTATTTTCAAATAATATGTGCATAGATTATCCCTTTATTACTTTTAGATAACATACCACACATCAAAATTTTATAATTGTAAGATCTCGATATGAATTTGAATATGTAGCTTAAAAACAGAACAGCTGAATTCTAGTTGAAATTATCTATTCTTTCAAAACTAAGAAATACTTACCAAGAAAACGATAAAAAATTTATTAATCATCAGCACAAATGACACTATTTCAAGTAATTTGGTTGATTCTTTATTGTTGTTTTCCGAATTATATAGATACAGAAATATATACTGTTCTATAACAAAAAAGAGTATTCTATAACTATTGCAGTTCTTGACGTTCTGAATTCACATTTATTTATTGGAATGATGAAAGCAATGTTGACTTCATTTTAATTTGTAATGAATTGAAGACAAAATAAATTATTTTACCGTAATATACACATCTGTAACAGCAAGTGATCATGAAATTGTAAGTTATGTTCTTGGTAATAGAAAGGAAAAAATTAAGGAGAAATTGTTCTTCAAATGCTTGGCGTGTTCTGCTTCAATGTTTGGCATGTTCTGGTTACTTTTTTCAAGTTCTTCAGCTTTTCCTTAGGGAAATTTTGATTTTTATTTGCTGCTAAGAAAATGGCGTCCGTCATGGCCAATGATTCTTATGGAACTAAATAAAAACGTGATAAATAAGGTCTGATATTTACAGGCTCCCGCTAGACGGCGTACTCGAGCGTTGCGATCGCGAATTCTTCTGCTAATGGTTTTCTATAAATTAAATAACAACATTATTAAAAATCTTCATTTATAAACTAAATAATTATCAGAAAAAATTTTCAACTTTGATTTATAATAATTTTGACTTAAAATAAGTAATGTTCTCCAATTTAAATTATAATTGGGGCTTATCTCCTATATCTATAGTTGCTCGCCAACCTTCCTTCGGAATTGCTTACACAGTTCTTCACAAATATTTTCACCATCTAAGAAAGCTTCGCACACTTATTTTACATTATCTGAAATTGAAATAATATACATATGTTAAAAAAAAAAAAATTCAAAATGAAATTGGGTATAATATAAAAAAAACACAACTACTTCCACTTAGTAGGAATAACATTTACCATGACGCAATGCTAAATTCTTTGCCACTATCCACATAAATCAATTATTAATCAAAAATCGAATATCAATTACTTTTCTTTATAATGCAATAAAATCTGGCGAGCAGCTATTTAAACGATCAAGCACTTCGTTTGTTTATTTGTGGCTTGAAGTTAGGCTCGCAGAAAATGCCGTTCATGGGTTAAATTTAGTAGGAATAACACAACCTGTGACGTAGGCTATAGTATACCCAATTGCATATACTTGTTTAGTTGCCAATAATGGAAATTCTAATAAAAAAACGCCGTTATTTTTATCTCTTTCCTGTTATTTTTTTCAAATTTCCATCAGCATTAAGTATGTTTAAATAATTTAATGCAACCCGAAAGAAAAGAAAACACTACGTTCGTTTAGAAAGAAAATTCAATTCGAGAAACCGAAATGGAACTCTAATTCAAAAATTTTAACATTACAGTTACACTTTTACTTTTTCGTGATATTAAATGTGTTTTAATTATCAAGCTCAATACGAAAGAAAATGTTTAATTTAAAATTCAATCCGAAAAATAATTAAAAATATTAAATTTTTTTTATTTAAAAGGTTATTATTTCAGTTTGGTTCTCTCCAAAAGACGGAGAAAAAATTTATTAACTCCGAAATTTTTCTAAATGTTAAACGTTTTTATACCTTCAGGCGAGATAGATAGTACGTAGTAGAAAAAAAAATTCAAGTTGGGTACCTGCTGCTAGTGACGTCATTGAAGGTAATTTGTAAGCGTTTGTCGATTTAGAAGCCTATCAGATTCGCCACACGCGAGTCGCCGCTTACCTTACAGAACAGGTATCCAATTAAATTTGATTTAAATCATCACTATACTTCTTCTCGAGTTGCAACAACCCAATGAAAGGCAATTAGTTTTTCCTTTACAACGAAAAACCATATTTATGAAGCGTTTAATAGCTCAAAAACGAATTCGAAATTTAAGCAAAAGGAGAAAAATCAATATTTTCAAACGTATGAGTAAGTGGCTGTCTAAATAAAAATCATAATTCGTTTTCTAATCTAATAGTTTTCGTTAAATTTAATAGCACGACGTAGTAAAAAAAAAAAAAACTGACTCAAAATAATTTTACTAAGGATCGTATCCATAGCATATTAACAGAATAATGTTCTTAAGCATTTCTCGAGAAATGTGCAGAATGACATTTTTTTTCAGTTAACATTTTCTGAAACAACAATGACTGTTCCCCCCTTTTTTTAATATAGAGATTTAAAGTACTTTTAAACGTATATTGTGGGAGAAGAGTTTTAAAAAAATTATTTACTTGTTGGTTGGTGAATGTAAAAAATATTAATTTTCTAGAACATAAACATTGGATGAAAAATAAAAAATGGGATTAAGTCGAAAACAGATATCTTTGGATAACTTAATCGAATCGTGAAGCATTTTTATCCTCCCTTCTCTAATAAGCGCTTCGATAAGCAAATAATTATCGCTTGGAGAGAGTGCTTTCAACTAACAAAGATTTCGTTCCATTGGATCGAGCTTTGTCCTTAACAGGTAAGAATTTAAAATTTTAATCTAGATAAGCACTGTAAAAATGAATGATTTGCTTAGCCATTAGTGTTATATGCATTGTAGTATTATACAGTTAAGACCTCACCTTTTCGTTGTTTTTTTGACCCTTCAGAAGAAAAAAAAGTAACACGATATTTATGTTTTTATCTAGTCTTTGTAAGAAACTTAAATACAAATAAAAATAATGATAATTTATTGAAACAGATATAAACTTTAAAAAAAAAGCGATTGCAAAATTTTTATATGAATGTTGTACACAGTTATGCAAGTGCCACTCCAATTGCGTCAATTTATACTAAAAAAATATCGTATCTAAATAATTTATTTCTCACCAAAAACTTCTTTCTTACATTCTCAAAGATTGATTAAAAATTGGAAAATTTAGCTGTATAACTTTTTGAGTTTACTATAAAGTCATGCGAAAACTCATATTCAGAGTTAAAAGGTTGATGACCTAAAACTTCTAAAATAATGCTAGGAAAAAAAACAACATAAAAACTATCAAAAATTACCTTAAAGTTAAAAATAATGTTTTTAAAAAGTCATAAAACTATGTTACCTTTTTTTTTTTACAACGAAGAAATTATAAATCATAACCCGATATATAGATTTAGTACAAAATATGATAATAAAGAAAATAAATATGTAATTATGAATAAAATAAAATTTAAAGAAATACCTGGTAAAGATAAATAAAAATTTATTATTTTTCAGTTACCAATCTTCAAGAACATCAAAATTGCGTGATATTAACAAATATTTTTATCCCGACCCGAATACTTGATATTTCAAAAAAACTTGTTACTTGTTTTTATCTTTTTGAAAAAAAAAAAGACCTGTTCTCAAACTCAGGTTTTCTAAATGAAATGAAAAATCGATTATTAGATTAAAAGTTATTCAAAATGTTCCTTTTCTTTTTGCAGCACAATGTTTAGTTATTGGATCATGAATCTCAACTTTTAATCAGTTCTAATACCAGAACTACTACTATATGAAAAGTGAGCAAAATAATAAAAAATAAAAATAAAAAACGGGCCATCCTGACTCATTCTTAACAATTTTAGAGGGTGATCTCAAATATGCTAATGAATGATTGCTAACGATGTTTTAAGTTAAGAAATCAGATACAAATACGCACTTTTTCTGAATAACCCAAAATATAACCGCAATCTGGGAAACATGGTTGGGTCAGGAGTCGCTTTTACTTTTTTCGCCATATCTTGAGAACTTTCAAAGAGAATGGAAAATTTTTTGCATACAATTATAAAATTCGTTTATTTAAAGACATTTCTATGCAATAAATTACTTTTAGTAAACATTTATTATTTTTTATTCAATAATAGTCGAAACAATTATGAATTGGATAGTATATAATTTCTTACATAATTGTAAAGAAAGCAATTTTAAATGGTAAATGACGATATTTGAGTAAAATTGAACGAATAGTTCCTGAAAAATCAAATTTTAAAAATGACGTATTTTTGAAATTTGATTTCTCAAGAATCGTTTGAAGGATTTGACTAAAATTTTGAATTCTACTACCCTTTAAAATGGCATCCTGTAAAATGACTTAAGCAATTGTGTACCTTACAATTTGAATTTTTTTTACCATTATTAAATCAAATAATAATAAATATAGCCTCTTATTTGCTTTTTGCATGGAATTATCTTTAGATGAATGAATTTTATGATGATGTACAAAAAATTTTCAGTTCACTTAAAAAATTCTCGAGATATGGCGAAATACGCAAAAAGTGAAATGAACCCTTACCAATAAGTTAGTTTTTAAAGCAACACAAATTGATATTTCCAGTGACGCCATTTTTTGTTCTATGTTAATTCAGCAACCATCGTGTGCAGTCCCCCCCCAATCCAACAGCAAAACTTGACAAACATCCAATCACAGCAGATTATTGTTTTGCTTCCGGCCGTGTAAAAACGTGACGAAACAAAACGTAATGACAATAATTCTGCTATGCTAGAGTTTTCTTGGGATATAAATATTTGCGATATTTTATTACCGAGGTAATAAGATATTGCAAATATTTATTATCCCAGGATTATTAGATATTGCAAATATTTATTAGGGGGTCCAAACTTTGGATCGCTCTCCTGATCAACGTATGGCACCCTGTTTCCCAGATTGCGGCTACTCCCCATATTTATGGGATCAGAAATTCGGATCTGTATCTTTTTTTCAAAATATCTTTTTTTCAAAAAGATATTTTTATTCAAAGAAAGTACGTTTTTGTGTCCGATTTCTTAACTTGAAATATCGTCTGCACTTATTGATTAGCGTATTTGAGATCACCTTCTTGAGCCATTAAAATTGAGTCCTACAGCATGAAGATCCAATCATTAGGGATTGAAAATTATTCAGAGTTTTTTTTTTCTTTCTGCGCACTGTACTACATCTGTTTGTCCTCGCTGCTCTACTGCTTGGCCACTCAGACACTTGTTGTGAATTGCAACCTTTTTGCATTAATTGCAAAGGGAGCTCGTGAAGCTTATTCAAGAAGTTGTCCAAGATGGTTAGAAGAGAAGGAAATTTTAGTGAAAGTTCTGCAGAACCTGATCTTTAATGAAGTTTGTCAATTCGTCACGACCCGTTCGCACCGTCCAGGCGTGACGTATTCTACGACTGCTGAGACTTCTTATTGTTTTGTGGGTACGCTAACTGATTCCTCAGCTGTTTTCGTCACTTAAAATATTGTCTGCACTTACTAATTAGCATATTCGAGCCATTAAGATTGAGTCCTAGAACGTTAAAATCTGATCATTAGATCAAAAGTTATTCAAGGTGGTCTATTTATACTTTTGCGGACTGTACACTATGTAAACGCTCTATGTTTCTTAATAATAGTAATAATAAAAAAAAAATATGCACGAATATATAAAAATTTTCACAAATGCATTTCCCAAGCATTTATTTACGCTCCATAAAAATTTCTTTGTTTCCTAAAATCTTTTGTTTCTAAAAAAAATAATATTTCAAAATTAGGCTGGACAAAAAAAATTGTTTTCTTCTTTAAAATTCCTCTCTAGTCTTCTCGCTGTCATCTTCACGGTATTTTTCCTTGTTTACACGTGGGCAGGAACTGTTTTTTTCCCCTAGCACGGCCCACTTTCACTGTGTGTTCCAGAATAACTCTCGGTGAGGACTGATTTTCAACCTTGTTGATTTGTGAAAACTTAGCAAACCTCAAAATACACAAAATGGCTATCCAATTATATGGATTGTATGGATCGTATGATGATTTTATAGAAAATGGAGATAAGACATTTCTTGAACTTCAAATGTTTTTCTAAACAATTCTCATAAGTTGTTTCTTCTTTTAATCAATAAAACCTAATTTTTAAATAGATAAGAGGCAGAGTCTTTTGGATTTCAACTCCGACAAATATGAATTGCATAACTAAAAATTGCATAAATTGCAGCTACAGATATTTTTTATATTTAAAACTGTACACTAATGATTAATATTTCATTTCTTAAAAACATTCATAAAAAAGATAAACCTAGCTTTATAATTAACTATTGATTAGTGAAACCTTAGCTGTTATTATTTATTTATTCGTTTACAAATTAAAATAATTCTTTATCACTCAAATCTTAAGTGTTTCAAAGTATAAGTTGATTATTTTAATACTTAAAATATCATTAACTGGATATGAAAAAAATATTAAACATTCAAAAATATTTTCAAGCTTTGTTTAAATATTTTGCTATTGTTAACTTCATTAAAAATATCTATTACTTAAAAAAATAAGTAAAAAAAATATTTATGCATTGAAAGTGTTTGAAAAATTGCCTTTATTAAATTTGCGGATATCTGAAAATATGAGGCAACATTTTTTCAATTTTTCTTGTAGCTATAAATTATACCAATTTTTAATCTGTTCATGTATGTATATTTTCTTTTTTGTTAATTTTGCGTATATTTTATATGTATTAGTTTTTGTGTATGGTTTTAGTATATTTATGTATATATTCGATGATTTACTGTACTTACACTATATGTTTTGGTCCGTATTTTATGTAATTGATTTATATCCTTCATTTAAATAATTATTTATTACAAGAATTATAAGGAACATTGTGTGGATTAAACTGACATGAGTTTCAACTGTTGAAGTACAAAATTAGTATAAAACAATTGCGTACATTGGAATATAAAGTCTACTTAATATGTGATCTTAAATGGTTGACTTAATTTTTTATCGCATTATTTTAAAATGCTTCAAAATTTTTTAATCGAAGACTTGATGTATTTCATCATTTACCTTAAAGAAATCTATTACTATCTGGACTTAAAATTTGAAAAATTATTATTTGTTTTTAGATAGTTTTTTTTAAAATATTTAATTAGCAAGGAAGAATAATCTGAAATAACTTCAGGAAGTTCAGGAATAACAGGAAATTCAGCTGATAAGCGAAAAAATATTTAATTCAATCATTTTATTAATTTAATGACGTATTTTGTTCATTCATTCAATGCAAGAATATTTGATATATATGTTTAAATAATATGTTTAAATAATATATTTAAATAGTAAGTTATTTTAGTTTATTTTTTAATGAATTTGTTACAAGTAAATATTTTCCTTGTTTAGCAATTAAACCTTTTGCAAAGGACATATTAAGTCGGTAAAGCGCGAAAGCAAACGCCTTTTGACTTTTCATCAGCTGTTTCTATGTTTTTTTAGAGTGGAGGGGAAGGGGGCCCTCTGAAGGCAGGTTGTTTTCCTAGCAACAATATACGTCAACATCTGGATGGAAGTATTATTAAAAAAAAAAGAAGAAAAAACGGATTGATAGAGGCTGATTGCGGAACAGATATGGATGGGGGCGCTTCTTTTCACATTTATATTCTTTGTTTATCAAAAGAGATGAAATAAAACTTCCCTTCTTCTGCTACTTAACCCATCTGTTTCTAATGAATAGGGTTACCGGATCTCTATATTAATAGTTGTATGAAAATTAATAGTTTTCGCAATACTTTGTTTATTTCAGTGAAAGATGTACAACCTGACAGTTGAATCTTCGTATCCTACTCCCTATGCCTCTTCGCAATTTTTATCCATGATATTGCTATCCATGATAGGACAAAAACATACTCCAAATACAACCACGGACATTAAAGATGGATATGATTATGTTGTCGGTAATAATTTCTTTATATTTAATTTTGATATTGCAAAATATGCAGAGATTCTAAAATCACGTTTTATATGTAATTCTCGCTGTTTCCACATATTTAGAAGTCTATTCCCGTTTTTAAACTCATGCATACACGAAAAAGAACTAGATTAGCTGCCGCCACAGCTCTGCGAATTTAATTGTCTGACTCTATACACATATTATTGATAAAACGATGAAATTCGCTTCTTTAGATAAAATAAATCAAAAATTATTTTGAAATAATTCATTAAAAAAAGTTAATAATACATTTGGTTAATATAATCACAATTGTTAATGAACTTTATTTATGAAGTCGTGGTTCCACAAAAAGATCGTTTAAGCTTCCGAAACCGAATTCTTTTGTTAGACTCCCAGTAGAGGATCAACATTGTCATTACTGAGTTTTTAAAATTATTGCTTAAGAAAGCTCTTTTATTTAATAAACTTTCTGATCAAACTTGATAATTTATTTTCTTGTTCGAGTTAATTCACACCAAAACAAAAATAATTACAAAATGGTTTATATATGAAACATTTTTAAACGATTAGATTTTAAGATGAGATTTTCCATCACGAAAATTTATGACAGATTTTTTCCACGGATTATCCAACAACAAGATCCCGCAGAATTTTCTAATAATACTGATAAAATAATATGTTTTGATAGCTTTTCACGAACTTTTTATTTTGTCCGCAACAATTTTGTATGATTTTCTTAAAATGTATATGAAATAAAATGTTGAAAACTAACCGGAAATGTTTTTAAATTACACTTTGGGCATTAGAACTTCAATAAAGTTTGTTTTTCTCTTGCATTAACTAATCTTCTGTCTAGTGATTTGCAAAATGTATTAAACCGATAATGAAGTATTTTTTATAAAAACTATTGATGGATGTCCCTTTATCACCTACTCTGCCAATTATGTAAAAAAAAAAGGATTAGACTAATTTCATATTTTTTTCTGTAGGCTACCTTTTTAGTTTTAAACATCGCAGTCACGTGATTTTTTTTTTGTCGTATGCCTGTTTAGGCAGTGGGGGTGCGATTGTTCCTGTTTTTCAGTGGCGCCATCTATGGCCAGAAATTCGACTTCTGCCACGCCATTCACACAACTACAACCCGTTTATAGGGCGGGTCACATTCACACTCTAAGGAGAAAGGACATAGAACACACAGAGAGAGGGAAAGAAACATCTATGCCTTGAAACATCCATCGATTCGAAACCAGGACCTATCTGATGCAAGGACAGTTCCCTGCCCCCTACACAGGCCGGTCGGCGTAATTTCAAGTAGAAATAGTATATATAAATTTCTGAAATATTAAGAACACGATTGTCTTGTTTCGCCATTGAAAAGTTTAATTATGAAATATTTGTGTAGAAAAGTACATGGAGTATTTTGACCCTTAATGGGATTGAGTTATTGTATATGCAATTAATCCTATACTATTTGTTTGAATTATTATTAAATTTTAATTATTTTAATCCTTACTTTTTGAACTAAGGAAAAGAAACGTTCACTTGTTAGCGCCTGTTTTGTTAAATTCTCTCTCCCCCCCCCCACAAGACAGATAGCACAATTAATTTTTTTAAGCTTTTATCTTGTTGGAACAAATATATATATGTCCACTTTGATGCATCAGATCTTAATTTGGATCTCTAATCATGGAATTGAAAAGTTTTATTTTATTTTATCCGTCGTTGAACAGCCGACCATATTTTGGGTTTACGACTACTAATGTTCAACTCCGTAGCCTTGTAGTTTTGAATCAATCCAGAAGACAAGGAAACTCCTAGATCAGTACCCCCAGAGGTATTGATTTGTTATGGGGAACATGGAGGACTTTGCGACTCGACAGATTTAACGTGCATCAGTCACCATTTAACTACACGGGGAGTCTTCGGCCGGCGGGGATCGAACCCACGAACTCTTGGACATGGGCCCAGTGCCCTATTAACCAGGCTATCCCGGCCTTAAATTGAAAAAATTTGTAAAAACATACTTCTGGATCACTTGAGTGGGATAAATTTTGCCAACGTTGAGGACTTTTTGATAGAATTAACCCGCATTTGGTTTACATGGAGAGGAAAACCTCGAAAAACTCTCACGACTAGCCTGTTGGCAAGGGGATTCTTACCCATGATCTATCTACCACTGAGGATATTTTATGTCAGTCCTGTGGTCGGTGAGAGCTGGGTGCAAATTCGTATCGACCAACCGGAGATATTCGAACCCGGTTCACCTCATTGGAAGGCGAACGCCACCGTGGTTCTCTTGAATGCATGCGTGTATCCTGCATTTAGAAAAGAACCATCATGACTTAATCCGTATAAGAACTTATTTAACCATAGACATAGGAGCTTGGGAATGCAATGCAATTAAAAAGAAAAATGCCGCATTACAAAGTTTTTGATTTTTTGCGTAATATTTATATTCGCCCAAACTTTACTCACAGTTAAATTATAAATAAATATCTTTCATCTTGCAAATAATTGTCAATATTTTCAACTTGAGCAGAAAATAGTGCGATAATCCGTTCTGGACTATCCACATTTCAATCACTCCAAAGCGTAATTTTAAACCATCGATTGATTTTTAAATTGGTATTTTTTCTTTGAATCCCCTAAATCGGATCGATCGTTAATTATTCTATATCAACCCTCCAGGGGTCTATATCGTACACTTTGGAGACCCCTAGTTTAAATCCATAAGCTTTAAGATCCATAAGCGTTCGACAGGATAAAAGCCATCCATATCCAGTTGTAAATTTAAAATGTTTTGACGGATTACATGTTAACACTGTGTGTCACAATAATTCAATTTTGTAAATGTTTTTAGTTGGTGCTGGTTCTGCTGGCTCTGTTATTGCAAGCCGTTTAGCTGAAAAACATTGTGTGACTGTTCTTCTATTAGAAGCTGGTAAACCACCGCCCAAAGTTACTGACATACCTGGCGTTGCTAGAAGTTTCATCGGAACAGATATTGATTGGAACTATACCACTGTTCCCCAACTTTATACCGGTGCTGGGCTCTTAAACAGAGTAAGTTTAAACCTAATGATTGATACATTAAATCGTATAATATTTTCTCAGCTATTTGAGTGTAAACGGAGTAAGTTTAAGCTTTCATTGATACAATAAATCGTAGAACATTTTCACTATTATTTAAGTTTTAAATCTAAGTCAAGATAAAAATCCTTTTTGTTTAGTAACAAAATGTTCAATGATCAATAACAGAGATAAAAGAAAAATTAAAACCATGCTTCGCATTCGTCCTTTTTTGGTACTACAGCCTAGAACAGGCTATAGGGTCGTAACAATAAGCTGCAGCCATTTGTGTGTTATATGTAGCACCGAAGATCATGTTGTTTTTCATGCATTCTCACTGCACGCGAATGAGAACCTGAGTGACAAATTCTTGGCTGAAAAATATTTTTCATTCATCAGATTTTCATTAGTGTGAACTCTCCTTTCAGAAAATAGCATGCTGAGGTCCTATTCAACATTGTTCATTATGAAACCTGTTGGCAGTCTTTTGAGTTTGCTTGACATAAAATAATTTGTAGGAACAAGATATAACGTTCTCACATTTTCGGGAACCAAAGACAACATCATAACAATCAGAAGATAAAAATAAAAGTTTTATTTTCCGGAAAAAAATACAGTCACAAAACTGAGTGACTAACTTAAAATAAATTAAAATGCAAAAAAGTGTATAACACACTGAGTAGTAGTAGTAGTAGCTTGGTGATTTCACAGATATTTATTTGCTGGGAAAAGTGTGCGATAACAAAAATGACATTTGTATCTTGCCGTAGGTTGCAGCTAATTTCCGAGAAGAAAGAATATCAAGATGTGCTCGATGAGAGGTTGCAGGTTCGGTATTCCCTTCGATCTAGCGAACTCTACAAATTCATTGTGAAATAAATTTTAAGAAGATATTGTAAGAGTACCTTCTTAAAAAAAAAATCGGCTCAGTGTTGAATACGGAGCAAATTCGAACATAACTTAATATTTTTTGTTTCATGTTTAAGTTGGACCCCTATCGTGTAATCAAGTTTCATGCAAAAATTTGAGTAATGTCTAACAACAAAGATTTATTTCAGTCTGTTGCATGGCCCAGCGGGAAAACCATTGGTGGATCGAGTGTCATTAATGCTATGCTTAACTTGAGAGGAAATAAAAAGAATTATGATGATTGGGCTGCTCACGGTGCCACGGGATGGAATTATGATGGAGTTCTACCTTATTTCAAGAAACTTGAAAACAATACAGATGCAGAATACGTGAGAAATGGTAAAAAATAATTTCATTTATTAAGCATTGGAAAGTGATATTCTGTTACGTTGAGTAAACATATACTATTTTGAAGGCCGTTTTCAGTCATTTCCAGTTATTTCATTGCTCTAGAATTTTATTTGTTATCAAAATTTTATGTATAAAACCATTCTGAGCGTCGATCAGAAATTAATAAACTTTTGGTGTATTTGAATCGAGGAATCAGTAAACCAGACATCTCCATTATTTTTCAAAATCTAGATTCTTGCATTTTAAAGTTTAGCTGAAATTGTTCGCATAACCTAACAATTAATTATTTAGTTTAGGCTCATTATTTTGTTGATGTTTTTTTACACACAATGAGTGGTTCAGAGGATAGTTCTTTAGAAGTAACTGTAAAGAAGGTGACTGTAAATAATATGATGCTTTATTTCAAAAGCTGGTTGATTGAGCATTCTAAGAAAAATGTGTTATCAAAATGCTGGAATGGAAAAGCAAGAAAAAGGAAACAACAGTCTCAGGTGTTACATTATAGCAATTTTACTTATAAAAGCATTGCACTTGGTGAAGTTGAAGTATCTCTTTTCGATGGTGTTTTATGCAAATTAATATTTATTCTGTACAAAAAACAAAAAAAATCCTATAAGTGGCACCAGAACCAGTTAAAGAAGCATATTTTGGAAAAGTTACCATAAACTACAAGAAAATTGCAGACATCAAAATAGTTTTTATAATATAAACCAAATGAGTTTTCGTATTTCTATGAAGATAATTGTAAGTGGCCTAGCACAGATAATCTTAATCCAAAAAGATTTTTGATTATCCATGAATATGTAGTCTAAGACTTAAATAAAGTCTTTAATTTCTCACTGACAAATTATTGATATTTTCGCTCGTTAAAATTATATACAACATTCGTTTTAAAGTTTTGTCTGAAAACTGGTCATCTCAAAGTTGTTAATAAACTTAAAATTAAGTGATGTTATAGCACAATAGAATGTTTTGTAATCAGTCATATTTTAATGACAGAAAAATAATAGAAGCTCTATATATCAAGCTGATACTTAGCTATTTAGTTTCTTTCTCTACTGTAAAGTTAGTTTTGTCGGAGAGGACTGTTTTTCGAACTCATTTATTCATTCATAAATTGATGCGTCCAGTCGCTGATATACCCATTCTTTGATTTACCCATTAATTAATACGCCTGTCCGTGAATTCGCTATTTGCTTTTGGTTACTTCTACTTTCTTACCCCGTGTACTTTAGTTAAAGCCATATTCAAATTACATTTATTTTAAATTAATAACATTTATAGCAAATTTCAGAGAACTTTAATTTATCAAGTTTAAAATATCGCCGTGACAAAAATTTTGGATTCAGCTGAGTACCTTTCTGTTTTTATCGTCTCTGACTTTATTAAAAGCCCGATCGTCGTTGGTTCCTTATCAGGGCAATAAAACTCTCGAATGACATCTGCGAAATATGGAGCGAAATACATGGTTAGGAATAGCGTACCTGGAGTAGATATTTGAATTTTGACTTGTGTTATTTAGGAATGCATCTTTGTTTTTTCTAAACATGCTGTCTTTGTCTGTTCTAAATAAAATAAAAAAAACAAGCTTTTTTCCTTAACTCAAATGCCGATGGCTTTTAATAAATTTTTTTTTTTGACAATGTGTTATGTGATGTCGAAATATTTCATCTCTAAAGTGTATGGTCTCTTAGGTTACCATGGGGTAAATGGTCCCGTCACTGTATCTAAACCAGAATATGACACTGAATTAAAAAGAGCTGTTTTTGAAACTGCAAAAAGTTCCGGTTATCGAGTGGGAGATGTCAATGGACCAAAACAAAAAGGTTTGTTTTATTCCTTTGGGGAATATTTCATAAGTTTTTTGTCTATGAAAAGAGTTTATTTATTTTAAACGTTTCTGCGTAAAAATACGTTCTAACACCATTGTTAAATCTTAAGTAAAATGATCTCCTAAATCCCTCATTTTCTGGAACCTCTGCTGTCTCATGTTTATCACTTTCAATGGTCATCAATTTTATTTGAAGGGGCTTTGAAAGGGACCGAGAGGTGAAAAGTTTTGATAGGTACGCCTTTGTAACAAAAAGGGGAATTAAAGAGGAATTGCCTCCTTAAGAATAAAAATAATTATTAAAAAATTATTTGGTTTTTTTTTCCTTCCGTTTTCTCGAAATTTTGTTATTTACATATTTCAACTTCCAGTCCCTTTATTTGCCCTGAACTAAACAATAAATTATGAAAGAAAAATTTCGAAGCTTTCGCTAGAAAGTTTGGAAAATTCATCCTACGATGGCAATTTTTAAATTTTTAAAAAAATATTATATTGCTTATTATTCAATGGTTAAAATAATCCTTTTTCTTTCCTTAAAACAAATTCAGGGAAGTAAAATTATAGAAAAAAATTAAGCATGGAGGGGGAGGAAACACTCCCAGAAAAAAAGAGACCAGATTATTCGTATTCATTTAACATAAGAACCATAGGGTTCGTACAATCCTAAAATTTTTTAAAGTAGTGTTATTAGCGTAAAAAAAAAAAGGACAATTTTCTTTTTATTGGCTTTATTCTGGACCGTGTTTCGCGTTCTCTACGGTAGGGGACTGAGATTGTTTCAACTTCCGGAGGAATTTATTTGTATTGATTTCTAATTTTTTTTTGCATCATTTTCTTACTTTTTTTTCTAAATATAAAAATGAATATCTGTGTGTCCTTTATAGATTCCTACCTAAATCATCCAACCGAAATCGATGTAACTTGGCATACAGATAGTTTGAACCACGAGGAAAGTAACTGTCGACATTAGAACATTCTACATCAAGCCATTCGATCGGGATAAGCGAAAAAAAAAATTGAATTTTTTGATAGATTAAACGTTAGCCATTGTTTTAAATTTAACTATAGACAATTTAATGTTTCAATTATTTTAAAGATAACATCAGTGATAATTATTGCCTATATTTAATTATTTTAATATTCGTTATGTTAGATTAATTCAATATGCACGTGGTAGCACGCTTTGTCCGCGTTACCCAATGGACGCTTTTATAGTTACATGCATGCACTTTTTTTAAAAATATTTTTATAATATTTCTCTTAAAAACAGGTTTCTAATAAGTTATTTATTTGAAATCAACGGTAATTGAATAGAAAAAAAAATATGTACTTAAAGGCAAAATTAATGGGAATGAGGTACTTTTTCGCTTCGGAGAAAGGTAAAAAATCGCCATATTATTATTGACGCCAATGATGCTAAATTAATTTAGGTAATATGTTAATTGATATAAAAAAAACCTTATGTACTAAGAAGCAAAAATAATGGAGGAAAAATACTTATTCATTTTGTGGAGCTGTAAAAAATCGCCCTATTATTATTGTCGCTAATGCTTTATTAATATTGATAATATGTATTAATTGAAATAAAATAAAATAAACTATGTGCTAAAAAGCAAAGTTAAAGGAGGAAAGGCTAATGGGAAATTTGTTTAGGAATACCGTAGAAAATCACAGATGACGCTTAATTATTGTGTTGTATAGTACTTCGGACGGTGATACATTCTATTACTGATATTATGGTAATGGGTGCAGTTCTACAACGGGTCATTCATATAGTTTCAGAAAATTCTTATTTACTGGCAGCAGAGATTAATATTTTAATGAATTAGAATTAAAAGAACTTTTTTCCTACCTCTACTTATAAATATTTTAAGCAGTAAATTAAAGGTGAGATAGAGAAATGATCATGCTTCAAAATTCTTATCAAGCTCTAATAAGAATACTATTTTTTTTAAAAAATTCGGCTTTAATTGGGTGACAAATGTATTTTTCACAAAACTCAAATGTTGAAGGGTTATGTAATAAGTACCAAATATACTAATATAGGCATAAAATATTATACTGATATATTTGGTGATTATTGAAATGGCACCAATACTAAGAAGTTTTAATGGCGATACTTTGGAAATAAGTGTTTTACGGCCCCTCCAAAGGGACCGGATAAAATTACTTGATAGTGGTAAATTTTATTATTATGAGTTGGCAGTGAGTAATAGCATCATGCCAAGTGATGCTAAATACATTTTATCTTCATTCTAATGGGATGAACTACAAAATACGAGTTTTGCCTACTTCAATAACGTGAAACCACAGAAAAGGGCGACAAATAATAGTAAGTAAAAATAAAATTGAAATTAATTTAGATGTATTAATTGAAAAACTTAGTGGAATGAACCAGCTAAGTGACATTTTTAGAACGAAAAAAAAAAGTTATATCCTAACTATTTTATTTCCAATTTCTTAGAAGGCGGGACTAATATTGTTTTGCTCTATTTTATTTACCACTGCCTAATGTGAAATAAAAATTATGCAAGTATGTTAAAAACTAATGTGATTAGTTGACTTTTGACTTTTTTTAAAGGACCGTATAAACCCTGAAACAACAAAAATGGTGTCTGCAAACAGTCCTTGCAAAACAGTGCTGTGTATCTAGGAACAAAACTAATTTTACTTAACACATGTATTACCTATTTGAAATCAATCTTATCTTTTATCGTCTTAGATGCTGATAATTTTCACTTTGTTCTTAGCATGTATTATCAAGCATTTTACTATGACTTATCATTTTTAGGTAACATTTAAATCTTTATCATCTCGTCAGTAACGACATGTTCCTTACTTCTATTTAAATTATTACAAAGCAAAAGATATGAAAATATAAGATAATAATTTGAAACGAAGCAGCTGAGGCATTTCATATCTGCACATGATAAGGTTATCGAAGTTCCACACCGAACCTTTATTAGCTAGATAGACGTTAACAAATTTACAACGGGGACATAAATAAACTTTTATTTTTCAAAATGATAGTTTCAAATTAATTCCTTTAATTTAATAATTGTATATTTGTAAAGTTTAATTCAAGTAGGGTTTGTGAACGTTTGGTAAAATTTAAAAAAAAATTTCCCTTTTTTCTAAGGAAGCCAAAAGTTTCTTATTATTAAAAATGAAGTTCTCAGACTACCGATCTATATATAGTTAGTTAGAGTTATTAAATGATTCTAGAAGTGAAAAACGTAATAAAATGTAGTAAAATTTCATCTTAATATTACTACCACTTTTTTACTTTTATTTCCCGATTCGTATGAGCCCTGTTAATTTAACCTTTTTTCCTAATTTGTTTTTTCGATAATTCCTGCTTTCAAAATAGAAATTTTTTTTTATTGAAGCTGTATCATTGGCAGAACTGTCAAATGTTACATTCTCTACAATTCAAGCATTTAAAAATTTTTTTAGCCGATATTTAAAAACTGTCACGAATTTATCAAGTTTTTTTATATATGTTTAATTTACTTCTACGTAGTTGTGGATAAGATCACTTTAAACCAAATCTGTTAAATCAAGAATCAATTATAAATACTTAAATTTTTGATTTCACATTAAATAAAAGTAAATGAATAAATAAATAAAATCTTCCGCCGAATGCTGAAAAGTGATTAGAATTAATTTAAGAATTACCTACGAATTATTAGAATTACTTTATCATTCGATATAGTGTTAAAAAATCATGATCTCACCGATCACCAACTTTCACGATAGCTTCTAGAATTCCACTGTCGAATTATACACAACGTCTCCAAGTTTATTTCATAAAAAATCTAGGTATCCAATCCTGATTTTTTATTTTCAACTTAACAAATGGTACTTTTCTATTGAATGTTGAGTAAATAATTTAGATAAAATTTAATACGGTTTTTTCTTTAACGTAAGGAATTTGTATTAACAAAAAACTTGTTTACATAAAAAAAAAATACGCAACTACCCGTTGATTTCAGTTACAAAAGAAATGTACACTAGAAGATTAACACGAACGAGTAAAGACACCAAAAATATATTTAAAATCTCCAAACGTTTTCAAAGGAAAATAAAGAGAAAAACAATGATAAATACGAAAGATGACAAATCAGCATAATGAATTAAAATGATTAAGTGAATATATCGTATGAAGTTTTGGAGGTTCAAATAAAACAAATACTTTGTTACTAGGGTACCAAATTTAATAACGTTAGGTTTCGTTTTTCTTTTCCCAGCCAAACGACATACAAATTTATGCAGGAAATATTTAAAGTAACGCTTTCATCTTTTCTCAGAAATTTTATAACATGAAATATGATTAATTTGCAATTTATAATAGCATCATGGGAGAAAATAAAATAAATAAACCTTAAATGCGTGATAAAAAGTTTGCTCAGTAATAAATATCTGTTGTCAAGGTTAAATCAATTTCTTTCATAGCTTAACGCATGAGATGTAAGTCACCAATATTCTTTCAGGACTTACATTTGGTGAAAGTGTCAAGTAGAACTATCATAATTTTTAAAATATAATTATTTCACAAAATAAATATTTTTTTTAACATCGTATAATCGATACTTTAACAGGATTCCCGCGGCTTGGAAAAAAACTAAGCTTTTTCAAGACTACTGAAAAAAGCTTGAATTTAGCTGTCATTTGAGATTGAAGGAAGTTTGAAAATGATAGAGGCGGTAATATGAGATCGATAATGAGGAAGTGGAGTTGGAGAGGAGAGGGGGCATAGCGTAAGATCTAGTCATAGATTCATAATAGTCGTAATTATTAAATGATCAATAAGGTAATAAAATACATAGATAAGAGAATAATAATAAAACGAGATTAAAATACACGAATAAGTCTGCGTTAAGTGAAATATTTACATTTGTACAAGTGGAATAGTATAAGAAATAATAGTTTGGAATACATGTACAAATATACAAAATTGAATTGCTTGTAATGAATCAGAAAATTGATTCATTAAAAGAGTAATTCTCCGCTATAGAAACTTACCAGGCTTTCCGGTAATACCGATCGTTTCTTGGGTTACTCGACTCTCTATATATTAGCAAAATACTAGTTCTTTGGCAGCGACCCCTAGGGGTTACTCGCATTCCGCGGTCCTAGTAAATTGTTGTGTTATACCGTGTATGTAAAATGTAGAAAAGTGAGTCCCTATATATTTCCTTTAAATTGAAAATTTATTAGTACTTTAAAACATCTAGATTTATCTAACTTTTGCTACCACTTTGAAAAATTTCCAGCTGAGGGTACCCTATTTAAGATTAATTTTGAAGGCGAGAAAAATTATCCATACCTATAATTACGTATACGTACGCCATATGAGAACACCTTCTCCATGACTCCGTGTTAAGTCTACGAGGAAATGTTTATTTTGGTAAATTATGACTCATTAGAGTATATTATCCGTGTGTCGTCTATTAAAGCTAGATCTCAGAAACTCGACGATAATCAAGGAATAAATAACAATAATTTAATACGATAATTGTAAAATTAAAATTAAAATTTATTCAACTACAATTTCTTAAATTTTTTTAATTTTATCAACCCAGATTTGGTCCTACATATTTATTTTTATATTCTTTACATTGGGATAAAATTTAAATCTAATAATTTTGCTTTCTTAACCATTTCAACTGCATCCATAAAATGTTTTTTAATTTTTATTTTTCATTTATTTTTTACTCTGAAAATTTGTTACTTATTTTTCTACAAAGAGATTATTCAGCAATAGAGTAAAAAATTATTTGTATTCCTTATTTTACTTGCATACCTGGACTGAACACAGTTTTAAATGAAATTTATCATGAGATAGCTGAATACTCTTTTTTCGCACGGATTTTTTTTTTAAAAAAGGGGGAGGGGGTAACAAATCGGTATCCATCAAAATCTTGCCGAAAACAAGCGGTTTCTACCAACACATCTCATAAAGCTAAAATAATTTCAATTTTTTCTTATTTATAATTAATGGATCACATTTCCGGTAATTTTACGTTATTATGTTAATCAAAATAATTTTTTAGAAGTTCAACTCATCAAAATAAAGATTAATAATCATTTGGTAATATCGAGTCATTAATATTGCATCTTAGAAAGTAATAATTTAAACATTAGGTCTTATGCAATTTTCAATTCTAAATAAATGGATTTGTAACCACTTAATTTTCCCCTTCAATTTAGGCTTTTATGACATCCAAGCTACGGTTAGAAAAGGTCAACGTTGTAGTGCAGCGAAAGCCTATTTAGTGCCAAAAGGTCATAAAAATAACTTAGATATTGTATCACAGGCTTTTGTCAAAAAAGTAAGTGGTTAAAAAATTGAAAAAAATTATTTATTAAAACTTAAATATACAGAGTGCTTTCTAATCCCCATCGTCATTAATATTATTTTATAATCTCTGAAAAAATTGAAAACAAAAAAATAATTTTAAATAGTCTCCTAAAAATAAATTAAATTGCGTAAAATCATTTCAAAATTGGACTCTTATAAACATTTTTGCTTATAATGAAGCATTCGTAGTTGCGTAGGAATCGCAAGGAGAAGCTTCGACTTTCTAAACTCCAATAATTTTTTTTAAAAAACTGCTAACTATTATTTATTTTATATTTCATTAACGTTTAAAGAACAATTTTAAAAATCTCCCCCCCGCCCCCCCCTCTCTC